TTTATGACTGTAGGCAAGAAAAACGAGAGAGTCCTGCACACATGGTCCCTCGAACTTACCCGCGATTTCCGGGTTAAGGTAATAAACATTTTTTCCCATTCGAATCTTTTTAAGTATACAGAAGCATAGCGGCTATTCAAACTAAATGGAGTCTCCGTTTGGTTGAAATTTTCTCCACATGCATAGTACTTCACTTCTTAGCAATCAGCGTCAAGAAAAGGCATACAGTCCTATGTGCCTTCCAAATAAAATTGCAAATAAAGTTCAGATTACTTTCGGCAACTGATACAAAAAAGACTCTTTGAGTTGTCAATAATTTCAAAGTACCAAGAAGTGCTGTACCTGCGAAAACAACCACCTGAACGCCAAACAAATCAGTAGCTGAGTGATAAGAAATCACAGCCTACCTTGTGGGTGTTTACTCTCGCTACACAGACTGCACCGGTAAAAATTACTCTTATCACTAACTGAAAAAACTCACCCAGATGATGATGATGGCATTCCGGGAGCTTTATTGAGCAAACGAAGTAGTCATTAGATGTATCACGTTTAGTGATGCCTATTGAAAAAAAAGATAAAAGGTGAATTAATATTCACCAAACAGGTATTGGGAATATTCAAACTTATCAGGTAGAAGTTGTCATCTTCATCTGACTAATCATAACTAATTCAGTACAAGGAAATGTGTACCAGCTAAAGGAGAGAATTACCAATCAGAGCGTGGAGTTTAGGGGTCTATTAACAGTATCGTATTTTATGGCCAAGGAGAGATTAAATGCAATGAATGTTTTCAACCCAAGCTGTTGCTCGATGTAAAAACATTTTGCAAACCCGTAACAGTGAAGCGTGAAAAAGTGACACAGCGTGTGACATTGTTATTATGTTCTGCAAGACAGGCAAATATCAAGAGATAATTTGAGATTCATTGTTATACATCTGCGGTTTTCCTTGCTCTTATAAGACGACTGAGTTGGCTGACAATTAATCTCATGACCCTGCATAAATTAAAATTTATTCTGCTTGGCATACAGTTTTGACATCCCGACAAAATTGTATGTCGAGCGTAATACATTCATTAAACGTGATCAGTACCTAGATTGTGTACTTTATCAAAACGCACGTGGCTGAGGCTGGTGGCGTGATTGAGACAGAATACTTTGAAACTTTCTTCTCTGAATTCCTTAATGACTCCAGACAACTTGTCGCTAGCTCTTCGCTAGTTCTTGAAAACATAATAGAGCAGCCTGAGGCTAAAAACAGTTCATTTTTATTTTATTGCAAGACACAAAATTGGTTCTTCAAAGCTTCTGCGTATCTCAATATGCATTTTTGGTACATTAGCAGTGTTTACCAGAGGTAAAGTTGCATTGCTCTGTTGTAAACAGTGATAAACCCCCTTGTTTTGGCTTGTTTGCTTTGTTTGTCCTCTGCATGTGTGACAAAGCACTTAATGTCTGGTTTCACGGGAAACAGTCTCATTGTTTCCCTCAACTCCATTGTGGGAAACACTGAGACTCTCGGAAAAAAAAACTGACGAGAAAACAAAATTTACTGTTTACCGGGGGAATATTGATTCAGTTTACATAACTCGAGGGATAACACTGAGACTCTCGGAAAAACAGAACTGATGGGAAAACAAGATTTACTGTTTACCGAGGGAATATTGATTAAGCGTACATAACCTGAGGGATAATGCACTCTGCACTACTGTTAGGAAACCTGTTTGATTGGTAAGGTTCATGTCCACCTCGGTCAGAGTGAAGGGGCTGAGAGACAGAATGACATTCAAATATTTTCTTCATTTCTTTTCGCGTTTACGTAGTGCTTCAAGATTCTCTATGTTTTGGGTAACCTTCACTGCATTGTTTTTTTTTGACCCAAGTTGTTGCTCAGAGTGAAAACAATTTGCAAAACAGTAGTAGTGAAGCGTGAACGATTGAAAAAAACCGTGAAGTGAGATAAGATGTGACCTTGCATGATTACAGCTTTATATACCACGGTTTCCCTTGTTCTAAAGACGATTGTGATGGCTTACAAGGAATCACGTGACCATGTATAAATTAAATTGCACCCCGCTCGGGGTACTAGGCACTGCAGCGGCTCATCACACGCTTTGCGGAAGCCTGTAATGACTTTGGCCTAACCATCAGCCTGAAAAAGACTAACATCATGGGCCAAGGTGTCAGCGTCACCCCACACATCACCATTGGCGAGCACGCCTTAGAGGTAGTCGACAACTTCACCTACCTTGGCTCCTGCATCTCCAGCAACCTATCCCTGGACTCTGAGCTCAATGTTCGGATAGGAAAAGCAGCAACGGCAATGGCTCGCCTCGAAAAGAGAGTTTGGGACAATTCCCTGTTGACCATCAACACAAGATGAAGGTGTACCAAGCCTGCGTACTGAGCACCCTTCTCTACGGTAGTGAGACATGGACCCTCTACTCCCGCCAAGAACGCAGGTTGAATGCCTTTCACATGCGCTGCCTTAGACGACTCCTTGGCATCACCTGGCAAGACCGCATCACAAATGCAGAGGTCCTATCACGGGCAGGTCTACCCAGCATGTATGCCATGCTGACCCAGAGGCGACTGCGCTGATGATGGACGCATCCCAAAGGACATCATGTACGGTGAGCTCGCCACAGGGACGCGGCCAACAGGACGACCAACTCTGCGCTACAAGGATGTCTGCAAGCGTGACTTGAAGACCTGCAGCATCAGCCCTGGAAACCTTGAGTCAGCAACAGCCGACCGTACACTCTGGCGATCGACTGTCAAGGCCGGCGTCAAACAAGCCGAGTTGAAGAGGGAGAGCCAGTGGGAGGTGAAGAGGACTCGCAGGCGACAGAGGCTCCAGTCTGCCCCCATTCAACCAACCCCCACAAATGACTTTACCTGCACAAAATGCCAGCGGGTCTGCGGCTCCCGTATTGGGCTTCACAGCCACAGCCGGCGGTGCAGCTTGACGTGATTCTACTTCTTAGGTGCAGATTTCCATTGTCTTCCGAGACAGACGGTTGCCAACAACAACAACAACCCCGCTCGACGTTCAATTTTGACATTCCGTCAAACCTCTATGTCGGGTTATGCTTTTGAAGCAATTTTCTCTTAACTTCACAGTGATTCCAGACAATTTGTCGCCAGCTCTCCGCTAGTTCTTGAAAAACAGAATAGAGCAGCCTGAGGCTAAAAAAGCGCTTTTCTATTTTATTGGAGGAAGAGATCAGAAAGAAAAGTCGGTTCTCCAAAGCTTATACGTATCTTAAGATGTATTTGTGATACATTGGCAGTGTTCACAAGAAATTAAGTTATTCTTTTACAGACAGTGATGAACGCTCATTTACAGTTTCCTTGTTTACTATTATGGTCCTCTCAATGTATTATTACCAAAGCACTTAAGATAATGTCTGACCCGTTTCGACACATCCAGTTTTGTTTTTCCTTCAGTCTCACTGTCCTTCGACCTCCTATCGTGAAACAATACGCCTCTCGGCAAAACAAAACTATTTCTAGAAGGATCAGAAATTATGTGTGTTTTATACCATTACATAAAAGTTTCCCTTACCTGAGAATCGGAAGTTTGCTGATTAAGCAACAAAAAAAAATCGTCCAATTTTACCAAAACTTCTTATACAAAACTAAAATCACTTTTGACGTGGTCTTATCAGAGTTCACTTCACAATTACCGCCGAATTAAATATCTCTAATAAGTAACTTAAGCGGGTATGGTACATACAACCTGTTTGTAATCTTTTTCAGTGCTTTTCTTCACCAATTTTCCAATCAAATGCTAACGAGTGATTTTGTTCGCTGCACTGAGTTACCTCCTTTGACACCAAATTAAATTTAGTCTTGAGGCCACACAAAGTGAAATTAAGTTGTGTTCGTTTCTAATGTATAAGTTCCATCACCATGAGCGGCTAAATTTACGGCAGCTTTAGATATCCTTTACCGGGAAGCCCATTTACTTTATCAACCTAGTTGATGAAACCAAATTATCTTGTTATACTCCACGCCAACGCAGCACCGCAGTTTCTTCTGAAACTTGCCCCCTTTAATCGTTTGAAAGCGAAAGTGCTCACGTAATCACATTTCTGGTATTAATGCGCTTATCTCTGTTATGGACACTACACAGTCCCCGTGCTGAGCTCCATATACGCGAATTATTTTCCAGCGGAAAAAGTACTCAATGTCGATATCCGATTCTTGTAAAATTCGACTGATAGACAATAACATTGTAACTACACTGGGTGCAAACTCAAAACAACTTCATAAGCTGAATATATGGCTCACCTGTTGCTACAACATTAGCAAACTTGATTGATAAACAAGGATAAAGCTCACCTTAGAGTTGCAAAATTCCACTTGCAGTTTTGTTATCTTAATGTTGTACAAGAAAAGGCTTGAAGCTGTTGAGGAGGAGCTTCAAATGGTACGAATATTTGACCCTCAAATACACATCGAGGTTTGGCCTAAGCTTGACTATGCATCCACTTTATTTACTTATATGACGTCATTGATGTCATTGGAAAACTGGAGCGTGAAACAGAAAGAATTAACTCGAATTGTCTTTTATAAATTCTCAATACTGTGTTCTGTATCTGCACCATGTGGGTCTAAATAGATTGTTGTCACCTAAAGATATCATCCACGAGCTACTTTTCCCCTTCTTTTCATGTCGAACCCACGACTCCGACGGGTTTCGTTTCTTTTATTACTCACCACGTCTACCTCTCGCCCCCTGGAAAGTCCTTGAAATATTAGCGACTTTGGCGAGTAGCCACGAAAACGTTTTTCGCCAATCTCTGGTAAGGAGGAAATATAGATATGAAAGGCGAACTGAGTGTTTTTCGTTGATCAATCGTCAGTTTGAAGAGTTTTCTAAGAAACAAGGGTTGGTACAACTGAATTAATTTTATGCCATTTTTGCTATCAAAAATTCTCCCACTCACCCCTCTCCGGACAGTACTTTGGTTTATAGTTTCCAGGTCGCACGTGGTCAATATGGCGGATGAAATAAAGTTCTGCGTAGTGCGTTGTATTTATTCAGATTTTGAATAATATCTCGGTAAGGAAATTATCAGACGACACATTTGAGGCACATATCTGTTTAACATGGCGAAGACAAGGAAAAAGTCAGGTCCAGAGAAAACGGCCAAGAAATCCAACAGCAGCATGAACCCAGGTGATTACGTTCGTTATGAAGTCTTGGTTACTGTATAATTTTCCTCACTGTAATGTAGGAATTTTATTTCCGAATTCGGTCGCCTGAATTTCAAAGGCGAGTTTTTCGTCTACAATACTATTTTAACTTATCTAACGTGAGGTCATCAAGTCTGCATTGTGTCTGTGATTTCAATTGGGCAGTCGGGACATAACTTGTAGTTTTTTAGATGACTGTCAATTCATTCCAATTTTTGCTAAGGCTGAACGTTCTTATTTTCTACTGCGATGTCAGCCTGAAAACGTTTTTAATGTTCTTAGAGTTGAGTGGTCTGGTATCTCAATAACTCAGTCAGAAAAATGTTCCTTGGTATTTGAGTTAATTGTTCAGCTAGACCACAGTTTTATATTTCTTTAGCCTTTATTGATACTTCTCACACAAAAAACTGGCCAAATGAAGTCGTTCTTAACTGACTCTCAGCCTGGACAGGTTCTTCAATTTTGTTTCATGTCAGCCTGAATGTTCTTATAGAAAAAGATTGCACTGCATTCATTGGCACCACTGAATCAGTCACAAGGATTAATATTCTGTTAGTGTGCAGCTGCTGTACAGTTAAGGAAACAATAGTTATGAAGCAGTGAAACTCATTATGGAAGATTTGTACCTTGTCTGCAGAATATTTCCTCTTTCCGCATGCATTTATTGTGTTATAACATTGATCTGTGGTTTTCCCTTGATTTTGAGAATTTTATTCCAAGAAAAGTTTTAGTTTTCTTCATTTCATACAATGATGATTGATATAAGAGGAAGAAAAACAGGAGTCAAACTGATTTTAGAAATTTTCATCAATGAAAAAATTGAAACGTAGGGCATGCATGGTGCACTTCAACTATTTTAACAAAGAACATTTTACAGACCGTCCAAAACCAGCAGCGGGTTCAAACATGAGAGACAAAGCAACAGTTAACAGACTTAAGATGTACAAATCAGGAGGAAAGGCTGTAAGGTGTGTACATTCCACAATAAAAACACATGCTGACAACAATTATCCTCCATCCCTTTATGGAATATTTTTCTATATTTTGTATTGATGAGGCCAACTTTTAAATACAGTAAAGGAGGATTCCCCAAGTGCACCAAGTGTTGGTCTTAAAAAAGGTGCTTGTTTGAACAAGACAAGCACCATAGTTTCAGGGTAATTTTGTATTATCAACTGAGTTGATAACATAAATTGGCCACTGTAAAGAGTTAAAGAGCTGACATTTTGAGTGTTAGTGATTGTATTGCTCTGACAAAGGGCTTATACTGGAAACATCATCAACTCTTTCACATGGCCAATTTTCATTATCAATTCAGTTGATAATACTAAATTACCCTTTTATACTCTCTTACCAATACAGCGCCACTGTTTCTTTAGAAACTTACCCCCTTTTATTCATTAATGCTGACAGGAAATGGTTTGAACATAGGAGTGTCACTACATCTTGTGGTACAAAAGTTGAAGGTGGTTCTTAACCCTTTAACTCCCAGATCAAATTTGCAATTCTCCTTACTGTCAACAATACAATTCTTATAATGTTAGTTCAGAGAATTTGGTATTGGATCAACTAATTATCCCCAAATTGATCTTTTTCTTTATTTTCATCACTTATCTGGTTGATATTGTATAGATATTTTAAAGAGAAATTCTGTCTTGGTCACTCATGGGAGTTAAAGGGTTAAACATACTGTTCTTGGTGAAATTGAAGGACTTGAAGCCTACTGCTGTTCATGTTACAGTTAATTTAACCAGTAAGGACACTAGATGAAACATTTACTTTATAGAAAGAAAAACTATTTGGCACCCTGTAGGTGATGATGCAGAAAGGGAGGTTCATTTTAAATTGTATTTTCCTATTGCCTTTAAAGTGACATTACAACTTGAATTTGTCATTCCAATTTTTTTTTTGGCAGATAGCAGCTTCTAGTGTTCTTGATAACTTGGTTTATTTAATAGGATGCTGCTCTGGTACCAGGGGCTCATGTGTCTAAGTCAAACTCAAGGCTGAATCTCTCTTCTTCTTTTTGTGAAACATTTATTTGTGGGTCATTTTTTTGTACTCAAATTTCAGAAGTTGGCCTGATTAGATAAAAGGAATTTAACCCTTTAACTCCCAAGATCTTATTAGTAATTCTCTTTACTGTTTGCCAAATGATTCTTATTATCTTAGTTTGGAGAATATGATATCAGATCAATTAGTAATCCCATAATTAATATTTTTCTTTATTCTCATCACTTGTCTGCTTGGTATTGTAGATATAGTATGGAGAAATTCTTCCTTTGTCACTTATGGGAGTTAAAGGGTTAAATTACAAATCTTTTCCTAATATCCACTCTAAGATTTTTTTACACCATCATGCATAACTTTTTACATTGCCTTTGATATAATTTGTATTTTTTTTTTTGACACCACATAAATTCTTCCTCTGTGATTTTTCTTTTAGGAACAAGAAAGGAAAAATAGTGAAGCCTGCTCCCTTTCAAAGCTCTGTAGCTTCAGGAGAAGTGGCACGAGTGGCTCCAAACAGAAAATGGTTTGGTAAGTACATTTAGCTCTACATGCTTTGGACTTAAAATTAGTATCCACCTGATTCACTTTTCCCATCATCTCAAATGAATTTCCCAACATTTTGAGCTCATTTTAAGAAATTCTGGCTGTGTTTTTATCCATAAACGGTATAAGATTTTCCCACACAGTAGCTGAAAGTTTCAGTCTCACTCCTTCTTGGTTAGCTCCCTTCCCTTCAGCTAGAGGAGTACCAGGCAATCATAGAAGACTGGTTTTAGGTTACTCAGTGATGGGTGACCTGAATAACTGGGAAACAAGATCAAAAAAGAGCATGAAAAGAACTTTGTTTGAAAAGTTAAGAACCAAACTTTGAAAGTTTCAAAAGACCTTTTCATAAACCACATCCTGAGTTAAGAGGTTCAGAACCACTCTGATTACTTTCAGGTGCTTTTAAAGCAAAGAAAGATCCATAATGGCAACTCTTTGATGGATCAATTGACTTTTTGAAATTTTGCTCATGGTTTAATTGGGTAAGGGTGGACTGGTGGCATGGAGGATCAGTTCAAACTCTTTGCCATTATAACCATTCCCTTCCTTGTTTTGATTCTGTTTCCTGATTTCTTTCCTATTTGCCACTGAAGAACCTGGACCTAGGCAACATTTGGTTGTACTCTTTAATGAACACTGTGCTTGGCTCATACCTGTTGTTTAGCTCTTTCTAGGAAGTTTTCCACTCTTATAATTTCCAGCTTTAGAGACAATTTTAAGCCACACTATTTTATATCATTTTTGCAATAGCTGTTATTATAACTGTAATGTTTAATTGTACTAGTAATTTTTTTTTCAGAGGACAAGGATTTATTTATTATGACAACATAATTCGCCTGTTTACTTTCCACAAGTGTGAAATAACAATAGCTGCAATTTATATCGTAGGTTTAGCAGCTTAATGACACTTGTAATGTTAAAGATCAAATTACTTCTTGCGGAAAATTTTCCCCTGGCTATAGTTTTTTCATTATAAATGGTTTTAAGCTGTTTCATGACTAAGAAATTAAATGATTAAATTTAAGAGAAAAGTCAAACATAAATAAAATAATCCTTAATCTTCTTTATTTATCTAATTTATTGTAACAGGAAACACAAGGGTGATATCACAAAATGCTTTGCAATCATTCCAAGATGAAATGGGAAAAGTTCTCAATGATCCGTACAAGGCATGTTGTAAATGGCTTAGTTTCATACAGTACTGTTAATATGTTACAGAATTTGAGATGGATGTTGTACATTTGTTATTTGTGTAGAACAAAAAGATATATGATATCCACTTGAGGACTTGAAATCCTAGCCAGGTCTGATTTGTGACATGTAGATGTTCTACCAATCAAGGTACAGGTGATGTGATAGCAGGCCAGGTCTTGTAGGTTCACATACAAGACACTATTGTTTCATATTCAGTTAGGGTTGGTTAGGGAGAGAGCATGATGTGTGAAGATGAGAGAAGATGGTAAATTTTCAGTTGATTGGTGAGGTAGGTCCAATGCAGGATTCAGATGTGAAAAGCATCCTCAACGCTGCTGAGATAAGCAGCCATAATGTTAAAAGCCCCCCTTGTAGTTAATTGCATGTTTGTTAAAGATCAACTTACTTGTCCCAGTTGGTTAAAATAATATTGCTGTGACTACCAACAGGTTGTGATGCGGCAAAGTAAACTGCCATTGTCTTTGTTGAATGACAAGGTACAGTCAGCCAGAGTACATATTCTGGACACAGAAAGTTTCGGAACGACCTTTGGACCCAAAGCACAACGCAAAAGACCAAACCTTAAGGCAGCTGATATGAAGGTTGGTGACATTAGTCTTTTCATCAGTAAGATCATGAAGAAGGCATTTTGATCATAATTAATACAACTTCAGGGACATAACGAATTAAACACATAAGGTTTTTCTTTTCAAATTTACCAGCATGTATCAGTATTTGGCAACCCACAATGCCTAAAACAAATGAATTTTAGGTTCAAATGATTTTGAAATAGTTTGAATTGCTTTTTCTCTGTTCCAGTTATCTGACCCTGAAATTAAAAAAATAGAAATGGATAAAATTAATGAAATGAGAGTGAATCCATTTTAAACCACAACACAGCTCTATGGGAGAAACTCTAATCTATAAGTATAAGTAATTGTTTTTTTTGTAATTATACAAGAGATATAGAGTACATTTTACTAAACCCAAACCCAAAATAATCGCAACAACCAAATTATCAGAACATAGGAATTAACTTATTTCAAGAAACTTTTGAGAACTCAGAGTAAAGATGAGAACATATGAACAATTATTGTGAAAAAAAAAAATCAGTGTGACTTAATCAAGATTGTTTTGAGTTTTGCATTTACATTTGGTTGAGAGGTAAGCATTTGAGTGTTCCAAAAGAATCACAATTTGGCGATGTTATGAAACAAAAGTGTTAAAAGTGAACGGTTCTGGTCTCTATTTTCCTTCAGGGTTTTATGGAAGCTGCACAGGTGTCATCAGGTAATTATTAATAGAAAAATTGTCTGAAATTATCATGATTTATTATTTTTATTTATTATCATATTTTATCGCCTACTAGTAGTTAATGATCCTCGAAAGGCCCTTCATGGGAGTTATTGTGCCAGATATACCTTTATTAGCCTTACACATTGAAAATTTCAAAGGAAACATGTGGCAGCCAAATTTTATGGGTTTGTTGGATGATTTTTTTTTTCTTAGAAGAATAGTTGTTGTAAACATTGAATTCTTGAAATCTAAGTGGAATGCATCCTTTGTAAACTTTGTAGAAATGTACGATGAAGAGAAAGATATGAACCTTGTTAGGGAAGATGATGGGGAAAGGTAAGCTTCATTGAACAAGATTTTCTTCTAAAACACATTTTGAAGTACCAGTTAAGCTGTTGTACATGTAAGACCACCAGTATCATATCCTAATTATAATATACAGGGTTGAATGTACACGTTTTGGAAAACCTGGAGAGTCCTGGAATTTTATTTTGCAATTTTCCAGGACTTCCCAGTTCTGGAAAGAGACTACAGGCCCTAAAAATTGCTGGGAATCTGCTTAAACTTGAACAATGAAGTTTTCAGAATTTATGTTATACATGTAAGAAGAAAATGTAGACTGTAAGGAGAACTGACATCGAAATCTCAGGAATGAAAGAGTTACAGGTGAAATCTGGAGTCCTGGAAAAATCAATATGAGTCCTGGAAAAGTTCTGGGAAAGTTCTTAAAATATTTCTTTCAGAAAAAGGGTATGAACTCTGATTTATGAGGAAGGAAATCAGAGCTGAGGTGAAAGTGCATGCAAAATAATGAAACTAGGCATCACTTTATATCATAGTGAGAGAAGGAAAAAAATGCCTGATACATGTACTTCACAGAAGGAGGTTTAAAATTTTTGACACTGTCTTCCATATGATATACATGAAAATTTACAGTTGTAAATGCTCCTCTCAATGTTCAATGCCCAGCAGACAGTCAGAATGAATTTGATTCAGCACACAGTGTTGGTTGACAAGTGGGTGACTTGTTAGCAATTGTTTTATTTGCATTTGTAATTACTGGTATACTATAGCTATGTCAGTCTGTAAAAATGGAAATTTTTTGTTGTTGTTTTGGTAACTTGTCTTTTGTTTTATCTATTTATGTCAGTGTGTAATTAAATTGATGTCCTACTTTGTTGAATCATTATTTTTCATGTCCTTCTCGCAGAGAGGAAGCTAAAGAATCACTGTTCACAAAAGGACAATCAAAAAGAATTTGGAATGAGCTTTACAAGGTAAAAAGAAAGAACAAGGGGTATTGAGCTGAAACGCAGCTTGGCATTGCATCTTTTCTAGGAATTTACCCATGCATTACATCAAAATTTCATGCAAGCTGAATGGTCCTTTTTCAACCTCAAAAGTGTCTGCATAAGTATGGACTTTAAGCCCAAAACTGAGAATTCAAAAGTTATACTTGTCTATGACTAGTCTGACTTATTTTTCTTGTTTTGGACAACTGCAGTAGAGCTCCATATTGATAATAATTTTAAATTCTTTCCAAACTTCAAAGTCAAGTGCTAAGCCCCTATAATAATTTTAATTTGTTTATTTATGTGTTTTTCAGGTCATAGATTCATCTGACGTTGTCATACAGGTATGTAAAAACCTCAAACTATTGAGATCTCATATATTGTTACTGCAAAGTATTTTCTGCATAAAAGGGGAGGCAGACTGATCAATTATCATAGTCAAAACATGTGAAAGTTCTAAGTTAGTGCTACATATACTTTGTGTTTAAAACTAAGAAGATTTACTGAAGAATCATCCCAAATGCCTTTATTCACACCATTTACAGAGGCAACATTTTTTTTGAGTCTTCGGGATTAACTGCCTTAGAGGGTTTGCACGTTGATCCAGCATTGGCATTTTTCTGAATGCTATCATGCCCAGTTTTTTTTTTTTTTTTTTTCATTCTTCAAAAAAGTTCTTGTAGATCTGTAAGCACGGTAGTAAAAGCGTCATGTTCTTAGAAACTATGCGTGTTGTTGTGAAGAACTGAAAATAGAAAAAGGGTGGTGTCTCTTTGTCTGGTCGTGGCTTCCTTTTGTAACGATGTAAGAATTACAAAGCACATATTGGACTAATAGGAGGTGCTATGACATGAAGTATGGTTAGGGTAAGGATTAGTATTTGAACCCGGTATCTTTCTAAACGTGATACCCTAAAGAGAGCGTGGTATTCTGTGGAATACCGTGCACTAACGGAAATACGTCATAGCCACCTTATTTCGAAAAAAGCCAGGCTATTTGTACTCGCTGTGATTGCTGCATGGATGCCCGATTACGGCTAGACCACTCTAGAAATTTATTTAGCACCAGGTTTGAGTTAACGTGTGATCGAGGCATCAGGAGTTAACTGTACATGTAAAATCGTGAGCCCCCTAAAAGCAAAGTAATATTTTTATACATAAGGTTATTTGGGCTTTCATTTTAGGTACTAGATGCTCGTGATCCCATGGGAACACGTTCATCTCATATTGAGTCCTTCATGAAGAAAGAGAAACAGCATAAACATCTTATTTTTGTTTTGAACAAGTGTGATCTGGTGCCAACCTGGGTAACGGTGAGTAACAAACTATGTGGTCAGCGTATACACGTAGATGCAATTTGTGCCTCGTGACAAATAGAAACCATTTTTATCCTCGCAATCGTTTGCTCTCCTTGTCTCATGTGTTTCACCACCCTACTGAACCAATATCTTACAGTCTTCTTTGAGATCGAGTTAGTTTGGTTGTCACAGAAAATCTTTTGCGGTTTTACTGTTTCATGATGATATTGGAACAAAAACTGAATGGGAGAAAATTTTTATTATTTCATGCAGACCATTCTCCTGCTTCTCTTCTTTTCACTTGTGATCAAATGTATCTCCAGAAAACTGGGAAATATCCGGTGATATTTGTAGAGTGATATTCCCAAAGTTGAAAACCTAGCGTCCAAAAAGCTTCCTTGAGACTTAAATGTAAGAAGGGGGAGCTTTCAGCTGGTGTTACGGAAAAGTAAACCAACTGAAAACTCAACATTCCATGTCGTAAGCGTACACGAAAAGCTTTTGCTAAGCGTTTTGTCTCCCGCGTTGCAAAGCATTTTCGTGGAATGACAATCTCGATGGCTCCCATTTGGCGGGAAAGTATGCTCGGATAATTCTCTGTTCCTTGGAAAACTGTTTCCTTCTCGAAACAGATAACATTCATGGAGAAATGTGGTTTTGATGCTGCTGGTGTTTTATGATATATTTTCGTTATGTCTATTTGTTATGTACAGCAAAGATGGGTGACAGTCCTGTCTGCAGATCATCCTACTCTTGCCTTCCATGCAAGTGTTACAAATCCATTTGGCAAAGGGGCTCTGATCAACCTACTCAGACAGTTTGCAAAGGTATATGGAATGTTTTGATAAGTTTTTTATTAGATTGATGACGGTATATTGTGGTTAATTTGGAACTCGGTTGTTGAATAAAGGAAGATGTTAAACTAATTTTGAGATGTTATGTGTCAAATTTCAGCACTTAAGACAATGAAACTTTCATTCTCGTTACCATTGTTATACTAATTGATCTTAGATTCTTGAAACCTTCACTTGAATTCCCATAACGCAAGGGATTTCCTTCAAGCTTGAGCAGTTTCTCGAGGATAAAAAAATGATGAAATAGCATAAATTGCCTGGGACTTACATGTAATTGTGCTTCAACTCTGGGGGAAACGACTTTAGTGCAGGGTAAGACAGCCCTTGGCGGAAAGGTCACTTGAAAAAAAACGACCGATAGCCTTGGTTTAAAATGTGCATTTCCCGGTTTTTTGAATTTTATACTTTTTTTCTCTTTCACAGCTTCACACTGACAAGAAGCAAATAAGGTTAGTTGTAACCTCCAACATTTGTAAATATTTTTCAATTAATAGCAGATAGACGTAGACCGAGAGAGCATATCTTCAAAAAAAAGGTATCGGACTGTTTTTCTGTCTGCTCACTTCGAGGAATAGATGATTTACGCGGAAAGATATCCGAGCAAATGTTCGCTCGAAATTTAAACTACAATTTTTTTTTTTAATAATTACTTTTCCATACCCGAAGAAAGAGGTGGGGGGGGGAAGAGAAGTGGCATTCTGCCTTTGGTTTATGTCTGTAAATTGTTTTCTTTTGAAGTGTTGGCGTCATTGGTTACCCTAATGTCGGGAAGAGTTCCATCATAAACACATTGAGAGCCAAGAAAGTCTGTAACGTGGCACCAATTGCTGGGGAAACCAAGGTAAAAATTGATTTTTGTTTTTTCTTTCACTTTTCCTCTTTTTTTTTCTATTTTTTTTTTTTTACATTTTTGTGCTGATGTGAATGTGTTAGACATTTAGTTTTATGAATTATGGTTTTGAGGTCAAAGTGAAAACGAGTCCCGGTGATGGGTTGGTTGAGTCGGTGGTAGAATTTCTGTAACTTAAAATATAGTAGATGTCCTCCTGATATGACTTTTCCCCTGGATTGGTTTCTTTCCAGGAGAAACTCATAAAGTCATTTACCCGAGGGCCTGTAATTGGGATTTTTACAGTATCGTGTCTCAGTAAAGATAATCGAAGTTGACTTTATTTGCTGATTACCCGTGACTATTTCCGCCTGGTTGCAAAGCATCTTGAGCTGTTTGACCCCACCCTTGATCACTGTTTGCAGGTGTGGCAGTACGTGACACTGATGAGGCGAATCTACTTAATTGACTGCCCTGGAGTCGTGTATCCGAGTGGTGACTCGGAAACTGAGATCATACTTAAAGGCGTGGTAAGGAATCTCTTTATAGCTATGTGGTACGTGCTCCTGTGTGCGTCAGTGCTTTGGGTGTTCTTAGAATTATCTGCACTGCAAGTAATACTGATCCTGGCAGTATGTAGAACACTTCAGCTATATGAATCTGCATGCAGTGGGCTGCGGCAAGTTCTCTTTAGTTTAATACATTCAGCGGTTGTCCGCAAGTCTGAGGTTTGAGGGTCGAACCTCACATGAAATGTCCCTATGCTCTTTATAGATATTTGATATCTCTGACTGTCTTTTTTTAAATTCATGAGATTTGGCCACTTAGCTAGTCCCGGCAACCTGAATCCTGTGGAAATTTTTAAACTTAGTCCTCCATTATTTTGCGGCAGGCAGTTTGTCTTTTAAAATAACTTGACTCAAACTATATGCGGATTGCAAAAGCCATCCTTTTCCCGATTTTTTTTTCCATTATTTTTTCAACTTGTTCTTGATCACTAGGTTCGTGTAGAGAATGTGAAAGACGCAGCCTGCCACATCCCCGTTGTGCTGGAACGGGTCAAGCAGGAGTACATCGCGAAGACTTACAAAGTATCATCGTGGAACGATCCAACAGACTTTCTGGAACAAGTCGCGCAACGAACTGGCAAGCTTCTCAAGGTAAGAAACATTTTTTACACGGACATCGCAAGATAAGCTGTAGCTGTGTGGTTTTTGCGCTGAAATCCAGATCGAAAGTTTCAGGTTTGAGGCTCAGTTGGGTCGTTGTGTTGTGTTCTTGGGTAATACACTGTGCTCTTTCATTGCGTCTGCGTACAAATGGATACCCTGCTGGGGAAACCTGACGAAGTGCGTGGGAATTACTCGTGAAGAACGACCATCGTATCTTGAGGAAGAAGCAATAGATCCAGCCGCTGAATGCCACTGAAAAGGAGATTGTTTCGGCAGCTGTGAAATTTAGATTCGGTTGCAGACGTTGTCCCTTGCCTCATGAAAGAGACGTTAATTTCATTTCTCTTTCTTCCGCTTGAAAGTTGGTCCATTTTCAATTCCTTTCTCCTCAGGGTGGCGAAGCTGATGTCAATACAGTGGCCAAAATGATTTTGAATGATTTCCAACGTGGGAAGCTGCCATACTTTGTTGCACCACCAAATAAGGTAGGTAAAAAGTTTTTTTTTTCCTTTTCTCATCGGCGAGGGAAGTAAAAAGTCTGAAGCTAATCTAATGTCGAAGGCATGGTGGTGCAACACCTCGTGCTGCCTCCTGAATTAGCTGGGCTCACACGCGGAAAAATTGAAAGTCGTAAATCTCTTTACCATTTTCTCTCTGAATCGAATCAGCTTTCCTAATGCACTGGCCGACGAGTTAAACAATAATTAATTGCTTAAAAATATCACCATTGTTTTTGGTGTCAAGGCATAATTATTGATATGGTGCATTTTCCGCCCTAAAAAAAGGGCGGAATTGAGTGGGAACAAAGCTTTTCTTGTGTTCCAGAGGCATTTTATGATGCATGAGGTAAGGGCCAGGCATTTTCTCCACACCCCTCTCGTCAAGGTCTCTTCTTGTTCAAAACCCTTGTCCCCGTACAGAAAAAAAGAACACTGTAATAAGTCTGTCTTCGGCCATATCACGCTCTCGTAGTTTTTAGTTTGTTAAAGATCCCTCAGTCATTTTTACTTTTCGCAGGAAGGAGAATCTAACTCAGAAGAAACGAAGAATGAAAAGAAAACATCGTCTCGATTTCCACCACTTGAAGAAAGTTTTGTTAAAGAAGCAGACACTGAGGCTAAGGATAAGAAAGAAGAACTAGCTGAGGAGGAAACGAGAACAGAAAACACCAAGCAAGGAAACGAAAAAACTGCTCAAAACGGCAGTCTTTCAGTTGGCGAAGAACATAACTCCCCAACGGACCCATTGGCTGAGGCACAAACAGCTGTTGAGACAAACGATACAAATAAAACTCAGGAAAGGTGTTCGTCTGAGACCGAAAAAATTAAGTCTGGCGAGAATACAGCGATCAATGACGACTGTGTTCAGAAGTCAAAGAATATAAAGTTACATGTGAAACAGGATTTCAGTGCCATTAACGTTGGACTTGAATATACTGGCGACGATGTGCAGCCCTTGGAAGAAGGGAAGGAACCTGATGGAAATCCTGAATTTGAGGATGAAAGTGAAGAAGAGGAAGAAGAGGAAGAAGGAGAAGAGGAAGTAGAAGAAGAAGAAGAAGAAGAAAAAGAAGAAGAAGAAGAAAAAGAAGAAGAGGAGGAGGATATGAGGGAGGATGAAGAGGGAGATGACGTCAGAGCAGCTTACGGGAAATACGAGTGAGTATTTACTAGTCAACTTTAATAAAGAAGATCGATATGATAAGAGAAACAAAAAAAGAAAAAAAAAACACCCAAGATTCCCCACGCCAGGGTTTGAACCCTGACCACGTGCCGCAACATGGTGCGGTCAAGTGTTCCACTCGCTGAGCAGCGCGGAACCTGTCAATATCGTATGGGAAATATTAACCTCATGTACTAGATGTACATCAGGCTAATCGAAGTTAAAGTGAACACGGCGTTAGAGAGCCAAAAGTACAATTGAAGGAGTTAAGACATTACAGAGTATTTTTAATTAATTTATTCGACGCGCAAAATGCCTGCAGCGTTAAGTAGACATCGAATCAAAGCTCGATAAGAGGCATTTATAAACCAGGAAGGATTATAAAAAGAATAAGAATGGAGAATATTTCAACGTATCACTAATTCCAAACTTGAAATATCAAGGCTACGCTTTTCAAATGCCACAAACATTGATCTAGTCCTTCAGAGTGTTAAACATGGAAGGGAAGGGGAGTTAATGTCAGAAAGCTTTTTCGGAAGCAATTGTAAATTTTTCAGCTTTTACTCGCCTCTCATAGACATCCAGATAGACATCCACTCCAAACCCTCTCGCATGGTAGCTCCCGCTTCAATCTTCCTCTTGAAATCCCAGAGTCTTTGAAATGGGGAAACTGAATGAAAAAGAAAAAAAAGTGATTAATTTATGGAGTTATACTTGGTCATTATTTGTGTCCGATTTTCAGAGAGGAGGAGCTTGGAAGCGAAGAGGATGATGAAACGGAAGAAGAAGAAGAGCAAGAGGACGAACAAGGAAAAAATAAAAAACAGCGACCACTTGAGAGTAATGTGAATACCAGAATGGACGAGTGTAACGAGGATAGTCATAGTGACAGTGTAGAAAATGAGGATGAATCGTCGGACAATAAAGAAGAATCAGAAGAAAGGCCTGGTCCTTTGAAAGAGTCGACAATCACGTTAGACAAGGAGACTGAAAAAAGGAAACAGAGACTGCTCGAAAAATACAAAAAGTTACAAGGTAAGTCTTTTGTGATAAGTTGATGGTCAGGTTAAACTTACAGCCTATCAAAAACTCAAGTGGGCAATCGATTTTTCAGAAAGTGGTGATATTTGCGGAGGCACCTGAGATCAGGCAGAGATCAGACAGTTTTTTGTGCGTAAAGTGCAGTCTTTTTTTCTGCTTTTTTATGCGCTGATGATTCGAAAAGGATATCAAAGGTAAACGAGCGATAGACTTAGCGACAGAAATCTGTTGGGCGACGCCCAAAAAGGAAAGTGTAAGTAAATTTTCAACTAGAAGTTGATGAAACCTCAGTCCCCTCCCTGGAAAGTCACACCGTGGATAACGAACTATGTTTTGTTTGTTTTCTTTTTTTCAATGTTTTGTTTGCCAGGTGTAGAAAAATTACCCTCTCGCCGGGCACAGGAGTGGACTACGCCCACTGATCAGCAATTCTCTGTTAGGGTAAGCCCGTACGTCGCTTGTGTTGAAGCGGAAGGAAGCGAGAACGGCACTAAAAAACAACTTTGCAAGGAACAGAATGTAAATAACACTCCACGAGCGCGTCCGAACAGATTATTAACAGCAACAAGAGAAACAAAAGTCACCAGGAAAGGTACGAAAATAGGTAAGAGGTAACTCACTTTTGAAATCAAACTGGGCATGTCCAAAGTTATTGCAATGACCAATCACAACAAAGGATCTATCAAAAGGAGCCGATGGGAGTGAAATAGAGTGCACTGCCTGGAGCGCGGGAAAACGTGAGAGGATTGGACGCGACAAGTTTTGACTTTGCATCTGATTGGTTGAGACGGTCACGTGGGTTTTTAGAGAAAACAAAGGCCATCGTAAAGCAAAAACTAATGTACACCCCAATTACTTTCGACCCTCAGTAGAAAATAGATCCAGCTTACTGCGTCGTGTTCATTATGTTTAAACGGTATGTTTATCATCAATGGTAACCCTAGAAACTCTAATAGTAGCCTTACGTGGCCTTTTTTAGTAAGCGTAACTGTACGGAGAAGTTAAACTTAGGACTACCGAGAAAAAAATTCAATTGAGTGAGACTTCAGATTTCAAACAGCACTTTAAACTACTGCGCTGCGCCGTTGTTACGATTCCCACTCAAATCCTCGGGATTCCTCACTGATCAAGATTTGCAAATCATTAAAATACCTTTTCTGCAACCTTCTAATAGTTGCTAGTCTTACTGTTGAAAAGGAAGAATCTGGATGGTTCTAAAACGAACACGGAGCTTAACCCACACAAGACATTCGCGCGGAGAAATCCTTGTAAAATTTGCGTTGGTTGATACCCAACCAGTGCGAGTACTGTTTTTCCTTTTTTTAATTTCCTCGTTGTCGTTCTCTTTTCTCATTAACGCTTATTATTTATTTGCTACGTATTAAACAGATTCTAGAGGCACAGATAGAAGACGTGGCAAACGCAAAAGTGACGACGACAGCGAAGGTGATGAATCGCCCAAACCAAAGGTAAAATTGAACATTGACGTTCTTCTCCTGTTAATATGAATAATTTCGAGGGAGTTGTGCGATCATACATTTTCAGCTGGGTCGTTGAATAAATGAAGGTAGATTGATTGTAACTAGGCTGTGTCATATTCAGTGAAATATCCTCACTGCAAAGGAGTCTTTTAAGCCTTTACCCCACTCAGAGTCTAATTTCTCCTCACAATATCACCCTTGAATCAAATGTAAAGGTCATGAGAATTAAGGATATAATCACCAATTCACGAAGCTCCTGATTGTCAAACAAATTCTCTTTGTCGGTAACGTAGGAAAGTGTGGAGAATATGAATTTAACTGTTGAGGTGTGACTGTTCTTTTGTTTTCATTTAGGCACCACGTCTGAAAACAAACAAACAGAAGATTGGTGTTCGTTACTACGAGACAGTGAATGTGAAAAACAAGAACCGTAACAAGAATGCGAAACTTCGGGAAGAACAAACGGGAAAGAAGGGAAAGAAGGGAAAGAAAAGAAAATGACCTGATATGCAAACGGCGATAGACTCCCAAAGACATTTGAATACAATGCTTTGGCCTTATCGCCAGGAGTCGGAATGGTAATTTTTAAGAAATTTTCGAGGTCTGGCAAAATTCAAGGAAATTGTAGAAATGTTTATGTAAAGTCGAGGAAAATTGAAATTAAAGTTCTTCGCACGTTCATTTTCTTGTCGCTGTCTTTTTGTTTAAGCCGTAATACAAATATTTTGATTTCTGGAGATTGTAATGATAGATGGAAATACTTCTGCAAGGAAAGGCCGAACGGACTAGTTCGTTTGCGCTGTATGGTACGCTTAGAGCCTCTTTGGTGAGGAAATTTAGTATTACCTAAAACTTAAGTAAAAGATGGAAACCGATAGTTGTGGATGACGATGCAGTATGAATTCGTGATCTTATTTAGATTGTGAGGCCGCTTTGTATGAAAAAAATGTTCTTCTGCTAATTAGTTTCGATACCTTTTCTCTCTAACCCTGTTTCCCTCGTCAATGAAACCTTTATCTTGTAAACTGGTAATAATTTTCTTAACTGAAGATGGCGGATAGGATTTCTAACCTGCTATATAATTTTGAAGTAGTGAGCATGAGAGTTCTGTGGCGATATAGTCGATGAGGGTTAAGTCCGACCCATTTATCACGTTGAACCGTAACAACAGGACAGGCCCGTGTTTTTATTCTGTTTTGTTGTTAGGCTACTCACCAACTCACCGTATATCACGGAATAGATAGCGAGCAGTGCAACCAATCAGATCGCACCTTTTGTGGTAAAACGCAAGGAGATACAAATATACTGATACAGACTAACCTAACAGATTCCTTTTTGTTTCAAATACTGGTAGATTCAAACTAAAACAATAAGATAATTCTTTCTCACTAAATTTGGAGGACATAAGCTATCACTGATAAGAAGATTTAGTAAACTTGTTATGTTTGCATCGGGCGTTACTTCCGTAACTTCGACGTTATTTGGCGGTCAAGAAAGAGTCCGTTTTCTGTATCAGAGGGAATTCCGGCCGACGAAGTTTTAAGTTTCACCTCCGTATAGATTGTTCTCTCAAATAGAAAAACGGTAGAGTCTTTATAGGAGGTGGAGTCATCCCAGTGGAAGCTTTTGAAGCCAGTTCCTTTTTAAAACATGCATGTTTTCATCAGCCCATTAGCAGAGTAAGAAGACTGGCACGTGATGAATACGCTCCGCCTCCCTCACAGCTGTTTTTTCGGGGACATTTCAAAAGGCTTTGTTTGCATCACGCAACGCTTTTATGCAGTATTTGTATAGTTGTCACACATTCTATACCCGTGATTTGCCGGTCAAACGTTAGTGGTTCAACTCGAGGGCTTAAAGGGTCTCCTTATTTATTTTTCACTTTTAACTATTGAGGTAAATATTTCAAAGCTACTCCGCGAAAGAAGGTCCAAAGAATTATAATGGATCTGCGGGATGAGACGAATGTACTAATCAATTCCTCACGGATCGATCTTCGACGTGACTCGATAGATCCGGTAAATCGACAGAATTTTAAAGTCTACAAGAAGAGGTGGTATATACTTTTCATGTTTTTTCTATGTTCTGCGTTAAATGGTGCAAAATGGAACACTTGGAGCCCGATTCAGGGAACCTCACAAGTTGTCTTTGGCTGGAGCGATGCGACCATCACTTTACTTGTTGCGTGGGGTCCGATTGTTTTCATCGTTATGTTTTTACCACTGTCATGGCTAATGGATGCGAAAGGTAGAAAACACTTATGTTTCATTACGTTGTATGCTTCAATTTATAATTATCACTCTCTTAACGGACACCTCAATAAGACTTACATCTCTTTGAGAAGGACTCCACGAGTTAATCCCAGCTGTTAACGATCGAGTTATTGTACTGTTAACTAAACTCTCCTTTCAAAAAAGATAAGTATCTCTCCGGGTAGACGGGCAATGGACACTTTCGAATCATCAACACCCACTTGAAAAGTCCTTTTCTTATAGAGGGAAACTTCTCAATAGTAAATTGGTGATGCTGAAAATGACAAAAAATGGTTATTTCGTCGGGGGGCAAATTAAGATTACATAACAAAGTAATGCAACTCCTTGTCTTAAATTAGATGTTGGCAGCTCGTATCTTATGAGGAGGTTCGTAAACATAATTCTGCTTTCAGTTTAGTTATGCCAAGGCATAAGACTTCAGCAGTCTTAAAACTGATATTTTGACATATAGGTACAGCTTTATCAAAGAACTACGTGGTGTCACGTTGAATCGATTGTACACAAGGTGTTTCTAGATGGACATTAGGGTTTGGTATCTGGGTGTTCATGCTGGAGAGAGTTGACCGTTTACATCATTTGATGGTGCTATTGTGCATAATTTATGCTAGGTTGCCTAGATATAATCGGCTAAATCAGATTGCGTGACAAGTCACATGAGTGACATATGACTAGTCACGGACGTGTAACATATCTGTAAATAGATTAAGAAACATGGTTATAAAAAGATTTGCCATCTTTGAAAGCCTGTTCATGCAGGACACTTTAATCACTTATGCTGATCCTAGATGTATGCAAGAAGCATGCAGCCTTGATTATGGTAGAGTCTCTGTGGCTCATTGGTAGAGGATAGGAACACGGAATCCATGGGCTGAGGTTGGATTCCTCACTCAGATTTTTTTTCTCCATCCCACACTCATCATAGACAAAAAAAACATCTTTGCCTATGTAACAACAGTTCAAACTATTTTTTTTCTCCATTTCTCAATTGTGTATTTGGTTTAGAGTAAAAGTTTAAAGTCTTCATGTTGAAATAATATATCAACCAAGCATATATCAACTAATATTATTATCCACGACCTTCACACTCACACTTCACACTCATCATAGACAAAAAAACATCTTTGCCTATGTAACAACAGTTCAAACTATTTTTTTTCTCCATTTCTCAATTGTGTATTTGGTTTAGAGTAAAAGTTTAAAGTCTTCATGTTGAAATAATATATCAACCAAGCATATATCAACTAATATTATTATTATCCACGACCTTCAGGTGTAAGAGCATCAACACTCCTCTTGGGAGTTGTTAATGTCATAGGAGCAGTATGTCAGGCTATTCCGCTAGATAATCTGCAAATTCAGACCTGGTTAACTCACGCCGGGGTCGCCTTCAACAGCATTGGAGGACCAATTGCTATGGCATCAGGTCCAATAATATCTGCTGCCTGGTTTCCTCCACACCAGCGCACAACGTCAACTGCATTAGCATCACTAGCTCCATATATTGGTTCTGGGCTTTCCTTTATCATTGGGCCCCTGTTAGTTCCAGATGTAGGAAATCAAAGCAGCTCAATTGGTAAAAGCATTGACTATATCAAATTGCGAAACAACATGACTCATGAACATATAATGTATCTCAAGGGGAAAATTATGCAACTAATGTACATTGAATTGGGGGCAGCAGCATTGACTTTGCTTCTAGTTGCAGTGTATTTTCCAAGCAAACCTAAACTGCCACCCAGTTTAACAGCAGCAGTCAATCGTTTGGATTTTAAAGATGGTTTCAGACGACTCATGAACAATAAACAGTTTTGGCTTTTGCTGTTTATAAATGGGGCAACTATAGGTGTTTATGTAGGCTGGGTGTCTATATTAGACTTAAATCTGTCACAGTTTGGTATTGGAGAAAAATCTGCTGGTTGGCTGGGATTTGGTGCTTCAATGGCTGGAATAGTGTCAGGAATTTCTCTATCTGTGTAAGCATTCATGTTATTTACAACATCTAAATATTCACTGTATTTTTTCTCTTTTATTTCAAATTTAGTATGATAGAAATAAAAATAATAATGGTAATAATAGCTAGTTATATCATTATGCCACACCGGTTAAGAGTGCTCTTTAACATGCAATGATTGCTTGGTTTGGAACTGAATAGCAAGTAATATTCACCTGTCAAGAGTTTGATTTCTGACCATTTTTTGATATTTCAAGAGAAATCAGTAAACTAACTTTTTTGTATCTGTGTGGTATTTACTAAAACAAATATTCACCTCAGTGTCAGTGTAAGTGGTCAGTGGGTAGTTACCTCACTGCTTCATGGCTCGGTAAATATCTACCACTATTCACTCCCCACTTTGGCAAATAATTGTTAATTATAGTAGTTGTAAAAGTAACATTTTAAAATGAAGGTTTGATTTTTGCTAGCCCGAGCTGAATATGTAGCATATACATTTGTGAAACCATGTTTTAAAACTTTTCTTTATACTTTAGGTGTCTTAAATTTATGAGTGGAAATTAATCAAAAACTATCAAAACTTCTGTGAGTTAATTTAGGTGATCAAAGTAATGTTGCCAAGAAAGATGGGAAATGACTAAGTAAAGCAATGTTAGAACAGGGAAAACTTAATTTTAGTTTTAAAAACTTCCAGTTGATCCACACCAGGCAGTTAGCCAGAGATAGCAGGTTAAAAACTGAAATGGTATCCTTTCATTTTCCCGCAGCCTTGCAGACCACGTATCCAGGCACATGAAAGTAATACAGTTTGTCCTCTTGCTTGGTTGTACAGTATCATTTGCCCTATTTACATTAATATGTGCAAAAATCATCCCTTACAACAAGGTTGTACTTTACTCAACCTTCATCATTGGAGGATTCTTTGCAAATGGAACTGTGCCCATGTTTTTTGAGATGGCAGTGGAGACTGCATACCCTGTTGCTGAAGGAATCACATCTGGCTTCTTAACAGTGTCTTGCAATTTTCTCCAATTAATATTTTACATATTTCCATTGCTGCCAAATTTTGGACTAAGGTGGATTAATTGGTGTACATTTGTGACTTATGCTGTTTGTATTCCATTGCTTGCATTGTGGAAAGAGAGATACTATCGATCTGAAGTAGATGATCAAGGGAAAACAGAGGGAAATGATTCTAACATAAACTAGACTAAAAGAAATCCTGCCTTTTTAGCACAAGTCAAAAAAATCTTTAAAAATAATTTGATGTTTAAGCACCGCATGGAAATCTAGGAGTAAGGCAACATGCATTAGTATCAATTTTTTTCACTGTTTTTTTTTTCTTTTTAAACTCATGCAACAGACTCCTCCAAGAAGGAGGGACTGCTTGTAGTCTAAACATGAACATTATTTTTCAATAAGCTAGTGTCATTAGAGGAAGTGCTGGTATGTGAAAGGTCATCTGTAATTCTAGCTTTAAGTTTAATCGTAGAGAGACAGGGGTATTATTTTTGTTAAATTTATTGTCTGAACACTTTCTACTTCTTGATTACCTCATGAGCACAAAGTACAAAGTAGGAAAATGAAGGGAATGACTTACATATTAAATACAAATACAAAAAATTAATATATTTTCAATCAATGATGAAGATTTTACAGATCCTACATTTCAGAGCTACTTACACTTTTGTTAACATAGCTAGTTAAGCCTGGTAAACCTAGCTGGTACAACTCTCTATAATGGAAAGATACACATACAGACAGTATATTTATTTTACAAAAAATTTCAATCATTGTTAGATGTCTTTGTATAGAAGATTGTACTTAGGAACATTTTGGGGATCTATGGGGCTGTTTACAATCAGTTTTCCTCTTAAAGCCCCTCTCAGTATCACCTCCACCAGGTCTATAAAATCCTGTTTGGTTTTGAAGCTGCCGATAAACTTGGTGTGGTCTGGTGTGCTAGAAAAAGGAACAGGGTGATTAAATATGTTGTCTTTCTGTTAGTCAACAATATAAACAAAGAATTGTTAGAACAATAAGTGTCCAGAGAATGCAAGCCTTTTAGATTTACTTTAAAGAAAAGCTTGACCCTTCAGTAGGAGGTCTGAGGTCATACCCAATCCTCTTAGAGGCCTCTAATATCTCACTTCCTGTGTTTTGAAATTGTGGTTTATGCAGCAAATTCAAGACAAGTGCATTAACACATGGAAAAATCATAGGCATGCATTAAAATGCTCTGAAGTAACAAAAAGCAAGAGATACCAAAGAAAATTACAATGGATTCCACTGAAAAGACTATTGAAGCTGAGAGAATCTCACCTTTCTTTTTCAAAGAGAGTAAAAAAATATTGAGGGAAAACAGACAGCCAGGAATGAAGACCTAATATAGAAGGTTTCCTGCCAAAACAACTAAGTTGGAATTTATGATTATCCTTACCAACAAAGTTGGCAGTGTTTAACCAGCTAGTTTATATTAAGTGACATTCAAATAACTGAAAAGATTAACTAGAACACACTGGAATCTATTTCATGACAAGTCAATGCACAAGAAATTTTGTCTTCTCAAAATGTTATAACACTTGTCCTTCCAGTCTGAAAACAAGAATTATCAGTCTCTTATCATGGACATCTTTCTCTATACTCCAACTTACCCATAATCAACTTTCATGTGTTGACCATTAAAGAAAAAAACAGTTGCTGGAATCAGAGAGATGTCAAAGTATCTTGTGTAGACTGGCACTGCATCCACATCCACAATGTATATATCAGCCATACGAGACAAGTCATGGGAGGTCTTGGCCAGCTAATGTGTCAAGGTACAATAATTCATTATTTAATTATTCACAATTATTAACAATCTTAAGATCTTGTTGATCTTGCATCAACTATGTCAGCTAAAACCCTTTAATTAAGTTGAAGCTGTTCAAGTTACACATTGGACCACTTGACTATTTTTGGTTGAAACATTGTACTTCCTCATAATAAGTCTCCCCACTATGTGTCATCAAATACTGAAACTAGGGCCTGAGGTTAAAAGACCAATAAAATTTTAATAATGAAAATGACACTTCCAGCTGGTTGACACATTAAAAAAAATTTTGGTTAGACAGATCAAACAAAGACAACTTTTCCTCGATGATAAATAGAGAGAGCCAAGCAACCCAACCAATGTTAAGCAGTTGATTCCAAAACAGAACATAGTTTACAGCTACCACCTAAAGATGGCCACAAACACATGTACATTGTGCATGCCAGCAGCCAAAAACAACGGGCCAGTACTACTTCAAATTTAAAACTAATGAAACTGTTGCTACAACGGCCATTGAGTCTCAATAAACCAGACTTATATGTCAAACCATCTACCACAAAGGATCTCTTCAGCTGATAGTTAAAATGACTTCCATCCAGGGGTTGAAACATCAGTCACTGTAACTGTAATCAGTCCTTTGAGGATTCTACCCTAACACTCTATGGCTCTTTATTGTATTAGTTACCCTTTTTTCAATTATTTAAGTTATTTCTATGCTTTGTAATTTTTTTTAACCACAAAACAGTAATAAAGTATGTGAATATGAAGGTCAATGAAAAATTCAAGGATACTCAGATAGGCTCATTACGTCCTTACGATATCATCCAGTTGCTGACAAACTCCGTCAGTCTCTCTTCCAAACCTCATCACCAAGACCTTATCTTCACACGTCTTGATTGCATTGTCGACATCTTTCTTTTTGCTCAGACTTCTTAGGATATAACTCATGGTGGACAGAGACAAAACACTGATTACTGTCATGTAAGCCAAAATGTATTGTCCTCACGGTCGAACGATTAGAACTGGATCTAGTCAACAGAGAACGCCTGTTGGAAAATGAACTTATATGCGCTCAGTGAGTAGCTAAAATAGTATTAACTATATGAAAGATTTTTTTGTCTTACTGCTTTTACTCTCCAAACGAACGTTTCAGTAATGATTGTAACCATTCAGGCTGTTTTCTGTGTGGTTAAAGAATTGCTTCAGTCGCTGCTTTCCTATTGTCACGAAGATTATTCAGAAGGTACGTGTAATGGCTATGATGCTATCGAAATTCCGATAGAGAATCGTGGTATGTTAAATCTTTTAATGTATCTGGTTAAATGAAACGAAAATGGTATGATGATTGGTAAAAGATAAGTAGGTATGAGATGCGAATTCATTTCCTCTTCAAAAAAGTATAGGGAACTTAGTTAAATCGTAAAGTTAACTGACGTGCAAGTACAATATTGTGCAAAAGTAACGCAAGCGAAAATTTCGTGCATTTCAAATGCGCGAATTTGGTTTTTTCCCTTGAGAGTTTTCATCGAAATTTCGCGCGAAAGTTCGAATGACAATTCGAGGCGTTTTGAGCGAAATTTCCGTTGAACAAAGAGCACTATTTCGTCAAATTTTCGCTTCGAAACGAAAGTCCGGCGAAATTTAACGATAAAAAGCGTACGTGTATGTCACAATAACAAATCAGAGTAGAACTCTGCTGACGTGTTCGCTTCCTTCTTGCTTCTAAATTCAAGTCATAAGACAGCTATGCAATTAATTTTTTTGTTCTTATATACCCCAGCATACCAAACAAATCTATCTACTTTGGATACTGGTAATAGATATGTGTCTTTATTGTTTCACAATATGGTTTTGTAACTTTTTCTCACCTATGACTCTGCACATTTAATTTTTTATCTAACAGGTGGACTTACAAGAGGGGAAGAACTTCAAACAGAAACATCAAGGAAATACAATAATGGTCATGTGCAACTTTCTGTGCAGAGTTCTAATTTAAAGTTTGGTGATGCAAATATTTTCAGGAAAGGTTTCCACCAATCAACTAATCAAGGAAATTCTTTGCCACATTTTAATCATACTGTTTGGGAAGAAGATTGGGATAATGATATTGTAAATGACACGCATCATAGCAGAACTGATCCCAATATTGAACCTTCCAAAAGTGATGTATATATGACAAATCAAAAATCTTACCCTTGTGTTAATAGTGATAAAGATTTGCTGTGGGATGAAACATCTTCAACATATTCCTCAGATTCAGAAGCTTATTTAGTATCTTCCCAGTATTTTGATGCAGATTTAGCTACAAGATCTCTTCACCTTGTTTCAGAAAGAGAGTGGCTGGATGAACTTGAATCACTATATTTCTCAGATATGTTAATAGAACTGAAGTCACTTCTTCCAAGGGCTTTTGAAGCCAGCAGGAATTGCTTTGATTTTGTTTTGTATGTTATCAAATTTGCTGACTTTGATATTCAAGCTGGCAAAAAGTCACTGGCTTATATGACTCTTGTTGAGTTTGAGGCCTGGCTGAAGTCAAAGACTGAAGGAAGGAATGTTCAAGAAATCCAACAGCTAGGTTACTGGCCATCTGACAATCAGAAGGACTTAGCTTTGGAAGTAGTTGCATCATCTACATTTCTGTTGTTTGAGCCAGTTAAAAGGACATTTCAACTTGATTCAGGAGACAACAGTTTCTTAACCAAGCATGTGAGATTTTTAATGCATTCCAGGAGGAAGTACAAAGAGGTAAAAATATGTTTAAGAATTTTAATTTTTTTCAGATGTGTTATTTTGCTAATCCAGAATCTCTCTTAGCTTTGCTCAATAAATATGTACTCTAGACATTTGGAATTAATCAGCACTATACGGAAAGGTTATGGTTCAACTTTTTCTCAGTAAAAAATGTTTTTTTCTCTCACTTAAAATTTATTTACAATCATGTAGGACCACATGTACAGAAAGAATCTAGTTGCTTTAGGGCCTCTGAAACCCATTATCAAAGAATAATTACATTTTAACATCCTAATCATATCATTTGAAACCTCTCTAAACCAGGTTGAAAATAATCACGGTTACTAAGGAATGTTGAATGTTGATTTTTGGTATTCTTGTAATAGGCTGCCACCATTGCATATAAGTTAAAACTTCAAAGGCATTTTGAAGTAACTGAGGTATGAACTGTACTTACTAACCTATTATAAAAGCATAAACTAAACATGTACTGAACTTACAGCAAGTAAGTTACATTCATGTCTGTTCTTATGTGCATCAGAATGGGGGTTAGGGCAGTTTCCTCCACCACACGGTTGCATGTTGCTCAATAGATCTGTTCTTGTGTTCCCAGTTGTTAAAACCATTTTTGAGAATAATTGCACAAAAAGAAAAACTTTAGTGTAGTAGGAGTTTTAAATCTTTTTTCTCCTGATTTCATTGAGCATGTTTTGTGTGGCAACTAAAGAGCCCATTAGATAACTTTAAAGGCAAACCAAGTTTTCTTGAAAATATTTGTGAAATACTCAGTGAAATTATCAGCCAAACATTTTGTTAGGAAGTTGTAGGAGGAGCATGAAAATTAACCGAGCAGTTTTAAAAAATCTTACAGTTTTCAATTTCCAAGCACTGGACTTGATTAAAGATCTTGAATCTGAATTTACATGTAGCTTTTTTGTTGTTGTCCCTAAATTTTTTGTGCAGCCACACCTATAAACAGCACAGTTTATTTATATTTTTTAGATTTTGTTACCTTTGATCATTGTCAACAAGTTGCAATTAGCAGAGAGGTATGTTTGTGACTTGTCAAGTAATAATGATGACCCTTGCTCTTTCCACTCCCTCCAGAAGTGATTTTAATTCTCTTGACATTTTGAATATATATTCAAACAGATATGGTATTTTGCTTCTTGTCCTGAACAAATTACAGCTAAGTTGGTACAAAGGCTCTAAAAACTCATTGTAAATTGCAAGCAGTGATACTTTGTAAACTTAAAAACTATAACTTTTAATTGCATCTAGCTATGTGGCAGGCTGTCCCACATCATTACAACTTTTTATGAAGTTGATAGATGAGTTATGTACGATGACAGATGATGATCTGGAGCTTGTTGTTGAGTAAGTGAAAACAGCTGTTAAATATATGACTTTGTCAAACTAATTTCATTTTAATCTTCCCTGGCAGTGTATTGATTGCAGTTATTTAAAGAAACAAGGGCTATCTCTAGAGCTAATTTTAGAGTTACCAGATGTAATTTGCAGATGTAGTTTCTGCAAATCTGAAAAAAAAACAGTTTTGCTTAGAGCCATTAAGCTGTCAAGTTGCTCTTCAGGATGACAGCTCTGGGGAGGAAATAAGATGAGGCAAAACCATTTGTCACTAACTGCTAACAGTAATTATTAGAGAGATAAACTTCTTAAATTTGTTTTTTTCATCAGGAAGACTGTTTCTCCAAAACCAAAGGATCACAGACTCAAGAACAAGATTCTTATTAAGTTAGGAGAGAGGCTTGTGAAAATGTTTCATTTAAAAGCAGGTATGGTACAGAAATTGTAAGTTGTAAGTATAGTTGCATACACACTAATTTGTGGTAAGATTCTGACCAGGGCTTCAGCTAAGATTTTTCAAAAAGAGGGTCATAGTTAAAATTTCAGCACATCATACATGATGTGGTGCATGTACACCTTTGCTCTAACTTGTGTTTCAGCAGGCTGATATCCATGCTGCTAGAAAACAAAAATGGAAGTATTTTGCACTGGAAAAGATTTATGCCATGCAGTTTCTTCAGATTCTGGTGTTTGCAATATCTGAATTTTAAGTCTTAATTGTTTGTTTTTTACCTTTTTAAATATTTATACCTCCAAGGGTTGGATTGGGAGGGGAGAGTTGGGGTGATGGTCATTGTGCACCCTGCTGGAATGTAATTACATGTATTTCTTGCATTCTTTGATCATGAAGAGGTACTGTACATTTTTTAGCCAGACCAAGTCTTTTTCTTCAGGTGCTGTAGACAGTGTGCAGCATTTTAGCTAAGGAGGCCACTACATCTCCCTTAATACATCTTAAAATCAGTTTCACTTTTCATTCTTAAACTCCTTTTTCATGAGAAGCAAGCATTTTTTAAGAAACAAAACAGACTTGTCTGCTGTTCTTTAGTGTGTAAGGCAATGTTATGTGAATTGCTTTCTGTTCTTCCAGAGAACTACCCCAATATATACAAAGAAAAGAACTTAAATGGATTGAGATATCTCTTACAGAAGAAATATTCAGAGGTAATAATTTTCTGTGAACTATGCATGCTGAATTTAATTTTGTTACTATGGTTAAGACGTAAAATGGTTTTGGAGTACCGGTACTTGAATTGATTAAATATTTTTATCTCTGTATTTGTTCTGTTTTTTTTTTTTTTTTTTTCAGAAACAACCATTAAGTCACAAGTGGGACAATCTCATTGAGGTATATTGTATAAAAAATTAAGTTCCTGGATCACACGAACATCAGAACTTATTACCATCTGTAATTGATGAAATATTTTTGCATGTGTATTATTTCTTTCATCTCATCTATGCCAGAGCTAAAATTGGGAAATATTAATAATCCCCTTTTTTTAAATCTTGCGTCTAATCTGGTGAAATTCTTCCTTTAAAGCTGTTTCAAGTTGGGAAAGTGTTTTGCAATTGCTACACGTCAAGAGATAAATAGAATGACAAAAGCTGTGAAATTTTGAGCTCGTTTTTGAGAGAAGAAAAAACGATTGCTTTTTTGTGTGTGTATGTCTTGGTGAGCTCACCAAAGAGTTCTCTGAATATTAGCAGTAGAGCCACAGAGGGCAAATTGGAAGGTCCAACTTATGATTCCTAATGGGGACCAAGATTTTGCATTTGGCCCATATTTCTCTTCAAGAGACACTTGTTTGTTCAGAATGTCGATTCCGGTTAGGATGCTATTTTTTTATACGGATTTGTCGTTTGTCTTACAGAGTGCTCTTGGTGATAACAAATGGCTTCAGCACAAACTAATAGAAAGTTTGGTTGAGTTTGATGATATTGAAGAGGCTGTTAGATGGACTAGGTACTATTGCCTGCCTCTGGAGTCAGTTCATCCTTTGGTTAAAGATCTTGTGGAAAGCTGGTAGGTTTCAAAGCCTCATTCTTCTCGCGCATTCATCTGACGAGTATGTCCTTCTCATATTCGGAACAAAGGTCAACCCCCCCCTCCCGTCACACCCCCCAAAAAAGGGAAGATTTGATACTTACCAATCACTGTTAATCCTACAGCTGTATATAATACTCTCCGTAAGAGACAGAGGTGGCCTGATGATGCTAGACTCTTGATTGAAATGACAAGCTTTAACCCTGATCACGATTGCTGTGCTTCAATGGCAAGAACAAGAATCACAAAAATTTTTGCAATCAGCACGTATATGGCAGAAATTGAACTCTGCCCACTGCCTTTTAGTCTTTCATGCAGTAATGCTCAGTGACTTTCTCCCATACCTGTATGTAGTGCGTCTTTCCACTCAAGAGAAAAGTGACGATCAGATAACGTAAAGAAATCTTGAGAAACGCCTAGTGGAGGTCATCATAACCTGCAGTATACAAGCATCCTATTCAGGGAGATGGTGCGGTTGCTCTCCAGGCTGGGATAGACTCTTCGGTTCTTGGTTACCAAATTTTTCACTCATAAAATTGTCTTGTGTCCGGGAGACATGTATAACGTGATGCAAGCAATTTCTAATTTCCTATTTGACATTGCCAATCGTTTTTACATTTTTAAGGCAAGGTGCAAGTGAAGATTCTGAAGACTGGGAAGCGGAAATAGAAGGAAAGTTAGAGCGTAAAGTGTACAACGATATACCTTCAACATTAAATTCTGCACCTGCCAACTGCTATCGGCTGCCATTATCTGCTGATAGGATATTCGTGGTTGACAACACTCAGTCTTTAAGGGAATGTACGCAAGTCCTCTGTAAGGTACGTGCAGTTTTGTATTGTACTTGAGGTTAACATGACATCCTGAATTAAGGTCAATTAAGATTATGGAGGAAATCGTTGGGGGGAGGCTACTTGGTATTTGAATCACTCACTTTTTGGTTCATCTGTAAAAGAAACGCCAAACTGTCTTTACGACAAATCTGATGCTTAAATTGTTGACATATTTCTCAAGCAATCCCTTTTTCTTTGTAACGAATTAATCTTTCGAATATTTGTGCGTTTGAGACAAACATCTTCTCAGCTAGGAGATTCCTTCCGAAATGGTTATGATTGTTAGAAAAACAAACAGATGAAAAAATTATGTAAACAAATGTGCAAAAATATTAATATATTTTGCGTTATACTGAGCGTTATTTGTCTTTGTTAGCCCGGTAATGTTGTAGGATTTGACACTGAGTGGAGACCGACAATGTGTCGCGCGGGAACTGATGACAGGTCAGTGGAACTCGCCCGGTTTGACAACCTAACTTTGAGAATTTTCTTTTCAGCTCGGTTGTATCTTAATTAAAGTAATCGAAGAAATGTGAGTAGTATAAAAATGTTAAAACTGCTTCAAGACTAATTTTCAAATTGGTGTCGATAGGTATCCAAGATTACATAGCTTTTAACTTAATTTGCTTTGTGACTGGTCAACCAATAAGATGTAAAGGTCCTCCAGGTCCTCTCACCCCGGGTTAAACTCGCCTTCAGGTTGTCTCGCTTCTAAAGTCAGTTTCGCCCCAGGTCATCATGCCGTAGGTCAAATTCGCTTCAGGTCGTTTCTTCCCTAAAGTTAGTTTCGCGCCATTTTCCTCTCAGGTTGTCTCGCCCTTGGTAAATTCACCTTAGGTCGTCTGGCCCCCAAATTTAGTTTCGCCCCAGATCAAATTCGCCTCAGGTTGTATTGCCCGAGGTCATCTCGCACCGGGTCAAACTCGCAAACTTTAGTTTTGGTGTACAGCTAAATGTGATTGGTTGATACGTGTGACAGTGTCTGTATCAGCTTCAGAAGAAGAAATTTTCTTTACCCCCGTGTCATTTGACAATATTTTTTTCGTGCAGACTTTCGATTATTCAGCTTTCTACATGGAATGAAGTGTTTATATTGGACGTGATAGCAATGACAGACAACGTTAAAGACGCCGAGATGCAACAGTTTGCTGAAAGTTTCTTTGCTAATCCTCGCGTTCTAAAGCTAGGTAAAGAGTTAAGCTTGTCAGTACTGGGGTAAAAAGGAACAGCAGCTTCCTTAAAATTTTTGTTCAATTGTTGTGTGCAAACGAAAACATCAATAACCTGAAGGCATTGTTATTTTGAAAGAATCTCCAAGAGGTGAGCTGATCTAGAAGGAGAAGGAGCCAGTTAAAAATTGGTGAAGTTGATTTGCTCTGAAACGATCCCTCACATTTATATATCTGCACACTTTTTCCTCTTAACAAATATTCGTTCGTCCGTTGGCCTATAAACAGCAGAAGAAAACTTTTCGATTACTTTTTGGAAACGTTTCCGAAGGTTGTCTCAGATACAGAAACATACATACACTTTTTCAAATAACATACAGTGCAGCGAGAAACATTAAAAAGTTATAAGTGTACTGTATTTTGCGCAAATTAACTGTTATATGCTTGGTTGGTTAATTGAACATTTAATATTGGTTTGACAGGTTATGGAGTTGACTCTGATTTTCGAAACTTGGTTTCTTCGAGTCCCCCGTGCGAACATGCTGTGACACGTCTTGCTCGGTTTGTTGACCTGTGTCCATTAAGTAAACAGGTAGGAAAGATTTAGAACTCCTTTGAAAATGTGATTCCTCCAAGCTGCGGGTTAAGTGAATTTGTTGGCCTATGTGTGCAACTCGGCTTTTCTTAAAGAAACCTTGAGCTGCATCCGTTTGTTTGTAATGTAGAGCTTCCCTTCCCACCCCTGTAGTTGAATAAAACACACAAGACGAATAAGAATCTGTCCATGACATTTTGTACATTGTTTTAAATTACTCCTTGAATTTCACAACAGAGATGACGCAGATTTTGACAGCGTCACTTGCCCCTTTATGTGGCGAAGTTCGTCATGTAGTTTAGTTTCTATATTCTGATAACAGGTCGTAAGTAAGATTTTGATATTTGGTTAACCATGGCAAACAGGAGGAGTCAGTGAGCCAGTGAACACTTGAAATGCAAGAATTAAGCCTGTTATGAACAGAAACACTCACATTAATAAACGCACATTGAGCTGCTTGAAAACTTCGCAAGAATTCATATGGAAAGACTTACAATGTGGTCAAACTTGAAAGTCCACTGAATGTGCGTTTATTAATGTGAGTGATCCTGTTGAAAACAGGCTTCATATATTTGTTTACATAGATACTCAGTATACCAAGTGTGCAACAAAAAGTCAGTTCCCGCATGCGTAGTGTATCTGCAAGAGAGCGTGCTTGTATGGAAGAAGAGCGAGGCTTGAGCGAGTTGGCGTTCTTGTGCCTTGGTCAAGCTTTAGACAAAACGTATCAGATCTCCGACTGGGAACGGCGTCCGTTAAGCGAGGATCAGCTGATTTATGCAGGTAACTCCTGCTTTTGAAGGACAAGGAATGAATAAGGATTAGAGACTGGGTAAAAGTTTAATTGTGATGATTATTCAATTAAACTGTTATAGTTTCGAGCTTGGTTATTATAGATTTATCATGGAGCAACTATTATAGATTTATCATGGAGCAACTCACTTTGTCATTGCCTCCGTTAAGCGAGGATCAGCTGATTTATGCAGGTAACTCCTGCTTTTGAAGGACAAGGAATGAATAAGGATTAGAGACTGGGTAAAAGTTTAATTGTGATGATTGTTCAATTAAACTGTTATAGTTTCGAGCTTGGTTATTATAGATTTATCATGGAGCAACTATTATAGATTTATCATGGAGCAACTCACTTTGTCATTGCCTCCATTGTACTTACCGGGTGTGTACTGATCACTGAATCCGGTTGAATCCATGTAGCCGCTACAAATGAAATGTCTCTTCTGTGGGAAAGCAAACGAAGCACAACTTTGTAGCTTTTGTAATAGCCGGTTTTTCGAGTGGTCAATAAAATAAACTACCAGCCACGCATTCCAGGTGAAGCAATCTCGATTTCACAGTGTTGTTTTTAATTGATTAAATTTTGTTTTTAGCTGTTACCATCTTTGTTGCATTATATATTCATGTCGTGTATGAATACTTTTATATCACTTATCAAATGAACATAATGCTTTGTCTAAATGTAGTCGATTCTCTCATAAACTTGGGTATTACGATCCATCCAATTTCCTTTTTAGATAGGATGATGAGAAACAACTATGTGGTAATAAACAAGACAATTCCGTTTGTTGTAAATAACTTGTTCTGTTCTCTGCCTAGCTTTAGATGCTTTCTGTTTGCTGGAGATTTACGAGGTCCTTAAACAGTGGGTGGTGGAGTCGAGGTTACGAGTCGATATGGAGCCTGGTCTTGTGCTTACATGGTTACATCCGAAGAAGGAAAAACAGCGGTATGTTGTTTTTATGGTGGTTCTTTTCTCTATCATTCGGAAAGCCAAGTATTGATACAAAGAAGAATTTACACGATAGCCAGTCCGCATGTCTGCTTATAAAGAAACCTGTGTGCAAAGAGAAGGCTGTCATGAAGGTGTTCTTCTGCCTTAGGTGTGCTTATTGGAGTGCCTGCTGGACGCGCCATTCCATTTCATGATAATCAAACTCTGATTAGCACATCTTTCTTTCTCTAACTTACACTCTTTTGTGTCTTACTTGACCACAAGCTCTTGAGATCAACCACAAAGAAACTTGTCTTGCAAAAACTATCAGTGCCGTGAGATAATATAATTTGTTGGACATGTAAGAACCTAGCTGGGACTGGTTAATACATTAACTAAGCGTTTAGAAACTTGTAACATTGACATTTGATGCATGGCACGCAATTTTTCCATCGTTAGCAACTCCTTTACCTTACTTGTTGCTAGTATTATTAGTATTTAGCCTCGATGTTTTGTGTTTTGTTGCAGTCGGAGCAGACGGAAGCAGCCGAAGCCAGGCACGCGCTCTAATGTGAGTCGCCACAATATTACTTCACTTGGACAGGTTTTCACATGAAAACCGGCAATTCTAATAGAAAATTATGTGAACACATTTGTAAGAACATGAACTTTTTTCTCTTTAATCTGCAGTGGGTTTTTCTTTGTATGTAAAGTGTGTGTTGTCACCTGATCGTCTCTGGAGGTTTTACTTCTGTGGCGTTTGCAGTGAAAAGGTTGAAATGTTTCTAAAGAACATTTCTGAGCAGTTCATATTGAAATGCTTAGTTGTGAGTGACATCAAGAGGGTTTAGTGATTATGTAAAGACATTTCGTAGCGTTTACGAAGCACAGCCGATGAATAGGTTTTCACGATTTTAGAATCCGACAGCACACCAAATACGAGGGCGTCTGTGCTGAATGAAGACATGAGGCTCGGTCACATGGCTTCCATTCTTTCTTCTTTAGGATTTGCTTCCTCCTGCGAAGAAAAGAGATCCCATTCCTCCTCAGTCACTCAGGGTCGTGGTTGATACAATGCTGCAGGGTCTGGGTCAACATTTGAGATGTTGCGGGATTGATGTGGTTATTCTGGATAACAAGGGCGATCACGAAAGAGCAGTTAAGGTAGAGCAGTAGTCTAACAGTGGCCCCTTGTTTCGCGCGCTGCGCTTCGCACCGAGTGCTCTGGGCTTGACCCCCTAGCGGAACATTTTGTTGTGCTTTCTGTCAATTTTGAGTCGTTGTCACCGCCCCTATCATACTTGATTCCGTATGTTATAAACTGAGTGTTTCATTGACTAAGTAAAGCGAGGGTTGCGTCGTCCCCGTAAAAATATATTTATTCCTTGAAGAGAATCACATAAGTGAAGAAATTTGAAAGCGGCAAGGAAGACGCGATGATCTTGTTAGCTAAGTTTTGAGGGCCTTTCTCGTTCCGTGGTGGTATAGTTTTCTCTCTAAAGTATGTAAATAGTGACACCTTCCTTAAAGTATAAAACTCGTCTCCTTTAGGAGGAGTATCCATACTATGGAGGTCAGCGGACTTTAAATATATTGAGGTTTTTGTTTCTGTTATCAGATCGCCCAAACTGAGGATAGAATCATCCTGACAACGGGCTTGCCATATGAACAGGTAAACATAGTTATTAGACATTTGCAACCGCCTTCTTTGCGAACTAACATCCCTAACATCCCATCTAACATTGGGTTTCCTTTCAATCGATCCAATAACACTTACGAGTAAAGGATAGGTACGATTTTCAAAAAAGTTTACAGAGAAGAGACGCATAAATATACAGAGTATGGATATGGGGATAATCAAGTGAATGGAGAAAGTAAAAAAAAAAAAAAAAAAAGAATGCATCTACTTTCTACTTTAAAGAAGAGATAAAGACTTAAGTACCACTTTTTGGAAAGACTGATGCCATGCTAGTTTGTTTGTTCGTTGTTTAGTTGCGTGCCCGGGTACCTGAAGGAATGTGCGTTTGTGTTCCAAGTGGAAAGATTCGACAACAAGTATCAGCTCTGGTGAAATATTTTAACGTGCAAGTAAAGAAACAAGATATCTTTAGTCGCTGTCAGGTTTGTGTGTGGCTCTGTGGTTAGTGCGAGCTTTTCTTTAGGGGGTTTTCGTAAAGTCAAAATGAGGATAAATAAATGGATTAAGTGCCTAATAATTTTTCGTTTCGGGCGTAACCCATCTTCCGTGTGGTAAGGTCAAGTTTGCAAATCAGGAGACTTGTGCATTATGTTGAACATTTCTTTAGCGTACGTGGAATGATTTAGAAGAACAACTTCAACCTGGCCGTTAAATCGGGTTCGTATCAGAAAAATTGGTAACTCTCCTGATTTCACAGGTGATAGATGAATGAAATTTCAGCTTTTGTGTATTATATCACGCCAAATCCTTGTATTCTAAGTTTCATCTTCAATGAATTTGTTATAGGTCTGCAATGGGGATGATTTCGTGAAAGTTCATAAGGATGACATGCGATTAGTCATGGGGATCTTCCATGGTCGTTTTAGAGCCCCACTGCCAGGCTTTGAGCCAAAGAACTGTCCTGTGAATCTTAAGGATCTGACTTTACCCAGCGGAGTGCCTCTGAAGCTTGGTCCATTACCTGAAACTGTAGTGGACAGTGTGGATTTGTTCTTTTGTTGTTCCACTTGTGGTAAAATTTTCTGGGAAGGGGGACATCACAAAAGAGTCAACGCACAATTTTCTTACGTCCTGGACAGTTCCCAATAGCAAAACCCATCTTAGCTGTCTTTACTAAGTGGAGTACCTCCCAAGTTTGTCCCAAAAATATATTTCGTTACTTTCTGTTGTCTAACAATTGAATGATCTTCAAATTACTATCACATGATTGAAGAATCCAAAACTCGTGTCGTGGTTTAGAGACACGGGGTAGAGACACCACAAATTTGAGACTCTTGCCGTTGGTAAACTCAATATTGAGATACTGTTCCCCTGTTTGTAATGGCAAGAAAATTTTAAACATTTTCGCCATTGACGCTCACACATTCTTGAGAAACCACAACTTTATCGATGAACATTGTTGACTGATCAACTCTGTTGATAGATACACGATGGAGAGACATTGCGATTTATTTCCTGTTTCGTTGTTGATGAATACACGATGCAGACACCGTTGATTTAAAAATGTTTCCTTGTGGCAAACATTTGATATAGAAACCACACCTGTAAAATATTTTCATAAATTTACAATGTAGAGACACCACCACTTTCACCACCACTTTACAATCGTCCCTTTTCTTTACAAATAAAATAAATCATGTTAAGACTTAGTAAAACTCTTATTCCACGTATCCTCTTGTTGAACCTTGTGACATGCTGTAGACATCACCCCTTTAAAACTTTGCTTTTGTTGATAAACGCGATTAACAGGCACCACAACCTTAAAATTTTCCTTGTTAACGAACAGACTTTTGCAGACACGCACAACTTTAAAGTATTATCTATTATTTGAGAGACATACAGTTAAGAGATACCACAGCTTTTAAACTGTTTTGATGTTGAACACTTGACGTAAATCACTTGTTTTGTAGGACTTCGACGTTATGAAAAAACAGGGTGAACGTACTCTAAAATATGCTTGTTTAACTTTTCACACACTTTACGAAGACTAGCGTTGTATTTAATTCAACTTTTGCTCGAACCGTTTTTTATTTGGGTACAGCCCTGTAGCTTGATAGATCGATGACTTCACTTGTCCGTTTGATTCCAGCTCATAAGCATCACTCACCATCGTTTGACATAATTCATCGCCATTCTATATCGTTTACCTGAAATGGATATCAGTCACCGAAACCGATAGACATTATCAACCGTGATTGATTTCCATTGGCTGTGAAATTGTCACATTCGACTGTCCGATTACAGGTTGTTATGAACAAATAAGCCCTCTTTCTAGTTTGGAAGTGATTTACAGTGAGCTAATTGCTGGGGATGATCTTGGTAACTTGGGACATAGCAAACGTTGTCAGAACAAGGCAACAACATGAAATAGGTGTACCAGGTTTTCATTCAATTTATTTTACAGTGGTAAGGTTCCCTTTGGAAGGGCTCCATCAGCCACAAAGTTAGTTTTAGTATCAACACAGACCTGAATAAAGATCATCATTACTTTTCCTTCTCCTCATTATCTATAATACTCTGGAGTCTTTCAATTCAGTGTTAAAAGGTGCTACGGTGAAGCTACTTACCCTATCTAACTAATTTTTTTTTTAGCGGCCGGTACCAGTACTGGTCACGCTTTCTCGTAAAATCTGTAAACCTTTTCAATCTCAAAAGCAGCCAAAACTGAATTTCTCCTTACAACATCGATACATTTTGACGAAGGAAGGTAATGAGAAGATAAAACAATAAAACCGACGTGATGTACTTGAATTGACACAAATTTAAAAAATCACCAAAGGAATCTCGCTTGATAAATAAAACCTCATTCTCAGAGCTAAAATGTTAAGTAATGTATTGTAGAGAATGTGGAAAATCATTTGCTATTACGAATTCGGTAGTAAAACATAAATATGTCTCTAATGTTAGTTCTTTTATACCTCCGAGTGAGATATAAAACCTAAATAATGAGTGTAATCGGGTTCACTGTCATCTACTTTCTGGGAGCCTGTTATGCCGACATGACGATCTAAGGATGTTGAGCAAACAGGTGATATTATAACCTCCTATTGGCTGGAAATCGTAATCACGACAATTAGCCCGTGAGCGAATGCTATCTAGGTTCACTGGATCTTTAACTTGCTCTTGCTCACCAACGAACCAATTATCCAGAGAAACGCAGACGCAATGAAAATTCCACGAATAACACCAATGTAAGCAGTAGGAAGAACTGAAAAAGACAAAAAAAAAATCAGAAAAAATAACTATTGTTTTCTCTCTTGGTCATATAAATGGGTCCGCAATGAGCACATAAGCAGTGTAGTCGAGAGATACCCACACACCACTTTACGCAAGAAATATCCTTTTGCTTAAAAACAAAATAAATAACATTTCAAATTTAGGTGCTTAATGCTTTAAACTATCTACTTAAGGTACGAGTAAATGGGAATTCGGAGGCCAAAGAAGCTTTTAATTTCTGAATTTTTTTTTTCGTAACTTTCTCTTGGTTGTTCTATTCGATTTTTCGTTGGGGGTTACATTCTGAACGAAACGTTATGACTGGCATTATCAATGTTAAAATTAATTTCCATTTACCTCCAGTGTCCAAGTTTTGAGAAGACAGCACAAGGTCAACAATGAGGAACAACAGACAACGGAATAACTCCATGTAAGGGGCATACCACCTGCAATTTTCCACAAACAAAAATCAACAATTAGCAGATGTGTTTACGGTAAATGACCTTTGTGATCAAACAGCACTGAACAATATTTTTTTGAATGAAACAAAATGTGTCTCACATGAAAAGTTTATTGTTGGATGAACTTCCACCAAACCCACAACCAGAACAATTACGAGAGAAACTTTTCCTGACGATGCATGAACCAAAATATATTTCACGTATGATTACTCCTGTAAGCTATTCAGATTCCTTAACGGAGATGTTCGAACTCAGTTTACACTGACATTGTTTATTAATTATAACTTTCAATAGCATATTTTAAATGAATAGTACTTACTTGTTATCAAACAGAGCTCCAACACTTGAAATTGTGAAAAGGAAATATGAGATAACTCCTAGCACATGAAGTTGGCTCATCAACTGAAGACATAAAACAAACAAACAAAAATACTTTCAAAAAACAGAATGTCCAAGGCTACTGGCCAGCTACTTGATCAAACCCTACATCTGGCTGGGAATTGTATGCGTAGACATTTCGTAACTGAATTTAATTTGACAAAAGATGGAAAAGAATTTAATTAAAGTAACTCAACATTAAGGTAAACTTTTACATGAAACATACCATCCTTCTTGCAATTAGCAATTGATATGCCACAATGGTAACAGCAAAATGCACAAGCACATAAACGTTTCCCCAGTATGACAATGAACTGTCATACCTCTGAATAGGATATTCGATCTGCATCAGAAAAAAAAACAATTGGTCCAATATTCTTGCACAATTTTACACAACACTTATGCCCAAATAAGCACACAAAATAAATGCAACAAATGGGGAATTGCAAGAGGAATTAACTTTCAAGATTCCACACAAACTGAATACCTCTGGTAGATCTGCAGGATCACCCAAACGAGGCTTTCCTGGAGTCCATCCAGGTCCTTTGAACAGTACAGCCAGCTACAGATGTAAAACAAGAAATATAGATTAATAATAGTTCACCATTTCATTATAACAGGTCTAACCCTTTGTACCCTAACATCAGTAAGTGTGTTCTCCATACTGTTTTATATACATTTCCTATGGATGCTGACAGGAGAATTTGTTTAACAATCAAGAGCTTCTTTAGTTGGTGATCATTTCCTTTATTCTCATGACCCTCATGTTTGATTCAGGGGCGATATTGTAATGAGAAATTAGATACTAGTCACTCTTAGGGGTCAAATGGGTTAACACTTTTAACCACAGAGTTATATGAGAGATTCTTTGGCCCATTGTTTTTATGTTGAATTCCAGACAGTGATTTTTTGCTGGAAACATGGTGTTGTGTTCTTGAGCAAGACACTTTGCTTTTACATTGCCACCCTCCACCTTGGAGAATCTTGATTCATGCTGCAAGATAACTACTGTAGTAAAGGGCTAGCATCCCATCCTGGGTGAGAGGGGAGGTGTGGGGTGGGGGAGGGTGGACAGTTCAGATACAAGCAAATCAAGTTCCGGTGATAGGGAACACTTAGCTTGCAGAATAAGCTAAATCAAAGGAAGAAAAATCTAAGAGCAAGATGTAATAGAAATGTGTCAAAATAAAAATTGCAACAATTGCCTGGCCATTTAAAAGTTTATTTCCATTACAAATCTTATCTGGAGCAGTAGATTTATGGAATATCCTGGAGGGCACAAGAAGTACTGTTCCGTAATATTGTGTCTTTTGTGCTTTACCTTATCTTTAAGTCCTGGTGTTTCCCAAAATGTTTTCCAAATATGACAGAAATGGCAAAGCTGATGGGAAAGAGAACAGCTGATTAGGTTATTAAACCAATCTCCTTAAATACTACAAATTTTTAGAAAGTATTTAAATAAAATGATGATCATGCCCAATCCTCAGTCAATGAGATGAAGTAAATTGAGGTGGAAGGTCAAGTGCAAACTGTCATGAAAGCACTGCAAAGGAAGCACTGAGCAAGTGAAGCTTGAGCCTGACCAGTTGTGATAAGGGAAAGATAGGAATGACTCAAAGTAATAAAAAACAAAACAGTATCTCATATTACTAGCGAGTCTTCTATCACCAAATCAATGGGGCTAAGACATTTTGCATCCAAGTGTAAACGAGGTGGCAGTACACATCATCACTTCATTGCCTTCCATATGGGAAATCTTGCAGATGTGCATGGCTCCACAAATCAAACCATGTGCAGCTTGTTTGACTTAAATGTTTGGTGCCAGTAAAAGTTCTAACCTGAGTCCAAATGGGATCCCAGCTGGCCAGTGGATGAACCAGACCATAGGCTATTTCTTCATCTGTTTCAGCTTGAAATGTTCCTACAATTTGGAGCCAAAATTGTCCTCAAAAATATTGCAATCTTATGAAAATTACATAAGCCAGACTTGAGTAAAATCCACCCATTGTGAAAGGCAACTGGCCCATAAATCTTTAGCTCCCAAGTTCTGATTGTTAATTCACCCTCTAGCTGCAACACATTTTCTTGTAAATTAGTTATAAGAACTTGGTGCTAGATCAAGATCACAGCTTCTACCTGATAAGTTTGAATAATCTCATTACCCGTTTGCTGAATAATTTATGGTACTATAGGGAGAAGTTTCATATTAATCACTTCTGGGGGTTAAAGGGTTAAAAAATAAAATTTTTTCAAAGCAAAAGATTTAGTGTCTTTCCAAGCACATTTAGATCTCAAGACACAGCAGGTGCCATACACAGTAGAGTTATCTAGATCATAAAATTTTCCTACCAAATATTCGGTCCCAAATAATCAATGTTCCACCTGGTAAAAAAACAATGTACAAAAATAAGACTGTAAATTATGTTAAGCACCAGTATCAGAAGCCTGATCCTGTATAACACTTTTTTTTGGTCTGCTTGACCAACTGCACCACTTCTCTTCATGGTCATAAATAGCATTGAATTAAAATTTCAGCATTGCAAATCCTGGTTATGGGAAAGTTGAACAAATTAACAAAACATACATTGTTCATTAAAATGAATTTTATTGGCAATTCTCCACAGTGCCAGGCTAAAGTGAGAAAATTCCAAGAAATGATTTTGCCCAGGCAAGGAAGGGAAACAAGTTCAATTAACAACAAAAAAAAGAGATTACAATGTCATACATTCACACTTTACATTACTAGCAGTAGTTCATTTAATTTCAAAATCATTATTTAAAGAAGAAACTTTTAAAACTTACTTACCATAGTTTTTATCAATACAGTATGGATTTCTCCCTACAAAAAAAAAAAAACAGTTAAACACATCATGCAACAAAATAATTTTTAACAATAAAATCATACTAGAGGAGTTTAGTTTTAGCAATTCAATCAGAACAGAAAAACAAGGCTTTAAAACTTAAACTTACCGTAATTATCCAAAAAATATAACACTTATTCTTACCATGATGTACACGATGATGACTGGGTGTGTTAAGAATGTACTCAAGAGGTCCAAGAGAGCGCACTATCTGTTTATAGAGGCAAGGGGTAATTTTTCTTTCATTACTGTGATTTGGAATTTTTTAGAAATTCAGAAACAAAATAAGTGACTTGAAGGTTAAATTAAATCCTATGAGCATCACTTCTGTTAAACAGATTCAAAAACAAAAGAACTCTTACCTCTGTGTGTATCCAGAATTGGTAAAGCATATTGAACTGACTATGCACAAAGAAAATCGAAGGAGGCACCACCAAGGCCAAAGGCATGTAAAAAATCTGCAACAATTAGAGATTTAATTCAACTTACACTATCATTACACTGAACTGTTTGCTAGCCACTGAATTACTTAATCTGAATTACAGTGCAAGGTGTCTCCTTATTTATTTCAAACTGACCACACTGATTTGAATTATTTCATTAAGGAGATTTTCTGTACAACCAAGAGAGACTATACTTACCGCAGAGGTGTAATTTTGCACAACAGATTGCCTTAAAGCTGTTGTAAAATTGTAATCCTCAGAACTGTGATGCACCTGATGGGCTGCCCACATAATGTTGATCTCTGCAACAATTTAATAATAAATTATACTAATTACTCAATCTTCTTTGAGAAATGAATATTAAATAATGTCAAGTGAACACAAGCCATGAATAAAGTCACATCTTACAACAATCTTGAACAGGAACCCTCAGCCCTGAATTTTAGACCTTACCCTTTCACAGACCACTTGTGGCCAATACTATTCTACTATTCCCATAATACATGTGTACTACCAATAATATTACAGAGGGACTTAAAATAAGAAAAACAAACTTTGTAAATAAAATTTTCTTACCATGAGCAGCTCTGTGAAACCAGTAGTAGATAAAATCCACTCCAATAAAACAAAAGTACCATGTTCCAGGATAATCCCATGGTAATGTAATCAGATTAAAATTGTCATAAATAAATACATAAAGGGCAAGCTCAGCACTCAGTATAATTATCCTGTTGAAAGAGGAAAAAACCAGCTGTCAAGAACAGATTAGGGTCCATACTTATAACCCTGCCTTTAAATATTATTTAAATAACTTGTAGTACACCATGAGAGGAAAGGTGTAAGAGTCATTTTAACCCTCTAACTCCCACGATCTCATTAGTAATTCTCCTTGCTGTCTGTCATATAGTTCTTGTAATGTTAGTTTTGAGAATTTGGTATTGGATCAACTAATAATCCCCTAATTGATATTTTTCTTTATTCTCATCACTTGTCTGCTTAATGTTGAATTTATACTGTATCGAGAAATTCTGTCTTGGTCACACAAGGGAGTTAAAGTGTTAACCATAGGAAATGTGTATGTTACAGCCAAAAATTATGTCAATGCTATTCATTATAAGCACATATTTTTTCTCTCTGTTGCATTTTTGTTTAGTTCTTTTGTTTTCAATAATATTGTTACTTTTTTTTTTGCATAATTTCCCTTCTTTGGCATCATTCATAAAAGTTCCATACCATAATTTTTCCTTATTCAGCTTTATTGTTTAACTGCATGGATATTTCTCAATCAATTGTTTTATATCATCAGCCATTTGTAGCAGATCCTGTACAACATTTATAAGTGTCTTGTTGTTCATTATTTTTTTGTTTTTCAGTTTCTTTATATATGATTGGAGTAATTTGTTATTTGCAATTTTATTTTGGCAACTGCTTCAATTATTCACTTCACTTCAACTGTTTGGACATGTACGAGTATTTTTGGCCATCACAGTGGGTCAGATGGTTCAGCCTATAGAAATTGAACTTCATGAAAAAAAAAATTTCAAACAACACAAAACAAAGTAGCAAAGATGCAAAAGATAGCATTAACTAGAACAAGATCTCACATGATATCACATTATAAAAATTCATTAAAACATCTTCTCCTTACTTGGACAACTGCGACAAAGTTCCTGCAGCAATGGAACTGAATGCATCATTCAACCTTGCTGGTGGAAGTCTGGTCAGAAAAGCTAATATGTACTCTAAAGCTATAGCTCCAAAGAAGAAAGGAACAGCCTAAAACAAGGCAAAGAGGTAAAATGAATGTTAATTTTCCAGCCAAATATGACAGACAAAGGAATAAGCTCACAGTGCAGATGCCATGGGAGTGGCCTCAGCTGTCAATAACTCATTAATTAAGCTAGTTTTTCCTTAATAATTACATGATCTTTGCCAAGGCAATTGGTACATAAGACCCTCTCCAAGGGTTGCATCCATAGCATTGTACCCTGTCTATTAAGCAGGAGCCCAATTTTCAAACAGAGGTCTTGGCACGTTAGTTCACTTATGTCCAGAAATGCATGCAGTAACGAAAATGACAGATTTGACAAATTTCGTCAAACGGAGTGAATGTTCATGGATCTGACGATTTTAAGCAAAATCAGCTTGGCAGAATTCAAAATTTTGACGAATTTTGGTCAAATTCTCAAAGGGAATCAGCTTGGTGGAATTGACGATTTTGACAAATTTTAGTCAAATTCGTCCTAAGTAAAATCAGCTTGGGGCATCAGACGAATTTTCATCATATTCATCATAGCTAAATCAGCAGGGTGGATTTGACGATTTAGACGAATTTACGCCATTTTCCTTGCTGCATGCATTTCACTTTATTCCGGTACTCACTTCGTTCAGATAGTCCGGTACGTCATCAAGTTTAGCAAACGAGGCTTCTTTAGGTGTCACTGCATACAGAAAGCGGCGGACTCCTTTCGTGAAAGACAAATTCCCAAGAAGAGGCTGACGATCAAGAAAAATTAAACATCGTGTTGGAAAAAAGAGCGCTACTTTAAAGTTTGGCTAAATCAAGCTCAATATTTCCACAGAACCCCATCCTTAATTATGCCTACAGTCCTTGGAAAAAAGAAAGCAATGGGAAAAAAATCACCCATGGGACTAGATCTTTGTTTTAAAATAGAGTGGGGTTAAACGGAAGTCTCTCCATCCAGCAGCATCCAGCAATCACAGAGAAGTAAGAATTTGGACTTTGTTTACATCAAGGTACGCACACAGATCTAGAGGTTGCAAACATGACCAATCTCTGCTGATGCTTACCTTATTCATGGCCGACGCAAACAAACCGTTATCTCTCGAGCTGTATTCTCGAAAGAAACACAAGGTTACTCAAGGTCACTGAAGATATCGGCCTGAGTTTTTCGAAACTGTCATCGCCGATAATAAAGTTCATGCGGATGACCGCTGTCCTAATGGTAACATGAAATCCCGAGGGGAGGGTAATGGAAGTGTTCCGATTAAACCAACTGTTAACAAAAATGTGGGTGCACTGAGCCCTCCCGTCCTTCCGGGTATGCTGTTGAAGTGTGATAAGTGGGTCACGCGAGTACTTCGTCATCTCATTTCGTCCTGAGACAATTTTTCTCACATGATACGAAAATCAAACTATAAAATTCGAACAAACAGAATTTATCTCTAAACCCATGTTCAACAGTTTCAAATTGGAAATCATTTTGTTTCTGCAACCGTGTTATCTATTTTCCCCTATTTATTTTCTTCTACGTTACTTCTGTATTATTCATTTCAGTTTTCAAATCGATATGCAATGCAAGCTGAAGCTAAACCCTTTCTTAGTACGTCTATTTGCCGAACTCTGACCTTAGATATCCAATCGTAAACTGCGGTGAAATTCACCCTGTAAAGAATACTAAAATAGCCTTTTAATTGCGTGAGGATCCGCGCTGAAGCATATCTCCGACATAAGCTTAACTTTCAGTAATCATGTAAAATGTCATGTGTCGGTAATCGTCCGAAATCGTATGCAACGAAACCCTTCAAAACTGGACGGAGCCGTATGATAATAGAACAAGAGAAAATACCCCTAACATCATCTCCTGATGAGAAGCAAGATTTTAAAAAAATCATTGAAGGAGATCTGTCGTTATTAACACTTGAAATGTTGCTTTTGCTTGTTATGCCGATGTTGCTTCTTCAGATCAAGTAGAGTTTTAACAAGCATCAGCCTTACGATTTGTTATGGCTTAACCCGCTACAAATGGTTTTAGTAGCTCACCTTTATCACTGAGTGTACGTGTTGCTAACTAAATCAAGACGCTAAGTTCTTTGTTAGACTTGTTTCCTTTATTCTTGACCGGAAACGCTCGATTGCACTCTCAGTCGCAAAAAGTTCCACACCCAACCCCCCAACCTGGTACTTTAAAACTCAGTACACCGACAATTTATCCTATTGTAAGATACAGTTTCGAGATCATCGAGCGGCAATCGTTAGCGCGCAACGAGTGCGCAATAGGGTTTATTCTCAATCTGGCTTGGGGGCCGAAAAACTTCTCCCCGAGTATGATTTGGAGCTGGGGGCCGAGGAACTCCTCCGCGCGGAAATTGCATTTTGTTCTCGCTTTTTTTTTTCTACTTTTTCTCCTTATTATCATTATTTTCATATTCTTTTTTTCCTTTTTTTCGTTTCTGAGCAGTTTTCTTTTTCGGACCACTTTGTTAATTGTTAATTGTATTCTGAATCCGGTAGTGTTTTCTGTTGCTCAGAAGTCGCCGGCATAGACTCTTTTTCCTTTAAATAGAAATGGTTTTGTTTGGCTTTAACCGTTTTATGTATTTTTTTACTTCTTTTCTCCCTTTTACGTTTCTCATGTATTATCCATTTCAAGCTCGTCATGTATGTCTTCGTATCGAACTCTGACGTTAAGATGTCGATATCCGATCGTTAACTGCAGTGAAGTTCTCTTTGTCGAGAATAAAATGAACAAACAGGCTGGTAAGTGTGTGAGGATCCGTGCTGGAACACATCTTCGACATCAGCTAACTTTCCGTAATCATGCGAATGTCATGTATCGGTGATCGTCCGAAATTGCATGCAACGAACTCACTCAAAATTGGACAGAGCCCCATAATATTAAAACATGAGAGAAAACAACTCCAATACCATCCCTTGACTGGAAGCAAGATTCAAAACATAGAGTAAAAGGAAATATGTTGTTCTTGACGCTTGAAATGCTGCTTTTGTTTGCTATGCCGATATTGTTTGTTTGTTCAGGTCAAGTAAAGTTTTTAGTTGGCATCAGCTTCACAATTTGTCAAGGCTTAACCAGATACAACTGGTTCTAGTAGCTCACCTTGATTATTGAGTGTGTTTGTAAACTAAATCATGTGGTGAAGTTCTTTATCGCCGTCTATGGCTCCTGACACCCTTCAGGCCCTTCCTGTTGGTCATTAGAGGGGAGGAGGTTTTAACAAAAGTACCCTCTTCTTACTTGTGGTCCAAGTTATTGGAAACTTTACACCTCCTTTCTCTCAGATAATGATTTCGTAATGATAAATTTCGGACGACAATCAGAAGTGTCAGTGATAAATATGCTGATTACCCTTGAGTCAATCCCGCTTTAAAATGGAAGATGGTTAAATACATAAGTACATCGGTTACTTTTACGAAGGAAATTTGCATTTTTGGTCTCAAATAACTTGCGAGAAAAATGTAAAAGTCTACCGACCACTTCCTCTCTTTGCTTCTGTACGGCATAACTCTGCGATACAAATCGACCCATTTTTTTTTTAATAATAGTACTCTTAAGCCATCAGTTCAGTAAGTTGCAGATTTATTCAATTAAAGTCTTGAACGCCTTTTTATCCTTGCATGAACTCAAAGAGCTTGTTAATGATAATGCAAATTTTGTCATTGTAAAGGACTACTATCTTCTTTATTGAGGGATTCACTGGAGCCAAAAAGACCAAATAAGATTCCCCAATGTAAAAGGGATAATTTGTACGCCAAAATTATGCAATAGAAAGTATAGGTTAATGTTCTCAATAAAGAGCTGAAGACCATCGAGCCCCTTAACCTGGTCCATGGATTAAAATACGATAAGTGCGCTTATTCGCCTAAATGGTTACATTGTTTTTATGCGCAGTAAAAGATGTGCAATGCAATACTGAAGAATCATATAAGAGAGCTTCAGCAAACGAAGCCGTCTGCCATTACAACATATGCTAATATTCCTCGTGTAGATCGCTTTTGTCAGTTCTTTGTTTGATTCATTTCCTTTATTCTTGACCGGAAACGCTCGATTGCACTCTCAGTAACACAAAGTTCCTTACCCTCCCCCCCAACCTGGTATTTCAAAACTCAGTACACCGACAATTCATACATATTAAATATGTAGTTTCGAGATGGTCGAGCGGCAATCGCAGGCGCGCAACGAGTGCAGGAGAGGTCATCGAGGTCGCGGGTTCGAATCACGCTATAGGAGTTATTCTCAATCTGGCTTGGGGGCCGAATAACTTCTCCCCGAGTATGATTTGGAGCTTGCGGACAAGGAGTAACTCTCAAACTGGCTTGGGGGCCGGGGAACTCCTCCCCGCGAAATTTCCATTTTTGTTTTTGCTGTTTTTCTCTTCTTTTTCTCCTTATTATCATTATTTTATCTTCTCTTTTGTTTTTCCCTTGTTTTTTCTGAGCAGTTTTCTTTTCGGGCTACTTTGTTAATTGTTAGTTATATTCTAAATCCTGTAGTGTTTTCTGTTGCTCAGAAGTCGCCGGCACAGACTCTTTTTCCTTAAAATAGAAATGGTTTTGTTTGGCTTTAACCGTTTTATGTATTTTTTTAACCTCTTTTCCTCCTTTTACGTTGTTTATGTATTATCCATTTCAAGCTCGTCATCCTTACATAGGCAGTGCAACTTAGAAGGAGGTAAATGTTTTCTCAGTATGTCTACGTGCCAAACTCTGACGTCAAGATATCGATATCCGATCATTAACTGCAGTGAAGTTCTCTTTGTCGAGAATAAAATGAACAAATAGGCTGGTAAGTGTGTGAGGATCGGTGCTGGAACACATCTTCGACATCAGCTAACTTTCCGTAATCATGCGAATGTCATGTATCGGTGATCGTCCGAAATTTTATGCAACGAACTCACACAAAATTGGACAGAGCCCCATAATATTAAAACATGAGAGAAAATAACTCCAATACCATCTCTTGACTGGAAGCAAGATTCAAAACATGGAATAAAAGGAAATATGTTGTTCTTGACGCTTGAAATGCTGCTTTTGTTTGCTATACCGATATTGTTTGTTTGTTCAGGTCAAGTAAAGTTTTTAGTTGGCATCAACTTCACAATTTGTCAAGGCTTAACCAGATACAACTGGTTCTAGTAGCTCACCTTGATTACTGAGTGTTTGTAAACTAAATCAAGTAGTTAAGTTCTCTATCCCCGTCTATGGCTCCTGACACCCTTTCAGGCCCTTCCTGTTGGTCACTGCACAACTCTCCGATACAGATCGACCCGTTTTTTTAATCACGGTACTCATAAGCCATCAGTTCAGTAAGTTGCAGATTTATTCGGTTAAAGTCTTGAACGCCTTTTTATCCTTGCATGAACTCAAAGAGCTTGTCAATGATAATGCAAATTTTGTTATTATAAAGGATTACTATCTTCTTTATTGAGGGATTCATTGGAGCCAAAAAGACCAAATAAGATTCCCCAATCTAAAAGGGATCATTTGTACACCAAAATTATGCAATGGAAAATACAGATCAGTGATCTCAATCAAGAGCTAAAGACCATCGAGCCTTTTAACCTGGTCCATGGATTAAAATACGATAAGTGCGCTTAGTAGCCTAAATGATTCCGTGATTTTTATGCGCAGTAAAAGATGTGCAATGCAGTACCGAGGAATCATATTAGAGAGCTTCAGCAAACGAAGCCGTCCGCCATTACAACATATGCTAATATTCCTCGTGTAGATCGCTTTTGTCAGTTCTTTGTTTGACTTATTTCTTTTATTCTTGACCGGAAACGCTCGATTGCACTCTCAGTAACACAAAGTTCCTCACCCTCCCCCCCAACCTGGTATTTTAAAACTCACCACACCGACAATTCATGCTTATTAAATATGTAGTTTCGAGATGGTCGAGCGGCAATCGTAGGCGCGCAACGAGTGCAAGAGAGGTCATCGAGATCGCGAGTTCGAATCACGCTATAGGAGTTATTCTCAATCTGGCTTGGGGGCCGAATAACTTCTCCCCGAGTATGATTTGGAGCTTGCGGACAAGGAGTAACTCTCAAACTGGCTTGGGGGCCGAGGAACTCCTCCCCGCGAAATTGCATTTTTGTTTTTGCTATTTTTCTCTTCTTTTTCTCCTTATTATCATCATTTTTATCTTATTTT